CTTTAATATCCCTTTATAAGAATTTAACAGATCTAGCAGACAGAAAGTTAGTAGGGACATAGCTGAACTCAAGAGCATCTTCAGTCAACTGGATATAATTGACATCTATAGGCTACTTCATCCAACAACAGCAGATTACACATTCTTCTCAAGCTCACAAGGAACATTCACAGACTAGACCATATTCTGGACCAAAACACACACCTTAACAAATTTTAAAAGTATAGAAATAATACAGGTCTGCTCTGAGACAATGGAACTAAACTAGATATCAGTAGCAGAAACATAGCTGGAAAACCCCCAAATACTTAGAGATTAAACAACACTTTTCTAAACAACACATGGATCAAATAAGAACTCTCAAGAGAAATTAAAAATTATTTTAAACTAAATGCAATTGAAAATACAACTTAATGAAGTAAAAGCCCACAAAAGCAGGGCTTGGAGGGAAATTTATAGCATTTAGTGCATTTCTTAGAAAAAAAGGAAGATCTAAAATCAGTCATCTAAGCTTCTGCCTTAGGACACTAGAAAAAGAAGAGCAAATGGAATTCAAAGTAAGCAGAATAAAAGAAATAATAAAAATTAGAGCAGAAATTAATGAAATTGAAAATAGAAAATCAATAGAGAAAACAAAACTAAAAGCTGCTTCTTTGAAAAGATCAATAAAGTTTATAAGCCTTTAGCCAGGCTACTTAAGAAGAAAAAAGAGAAGAAATATATTACTAATATTAGTAGTGAAAGAAGAGGTATCACTACAGATCCTATGGACATTAAAAGGATAATAAAGGAGTACTATCAATAATTCTATGCCCACAAATTTGATAACCTAGATGAAATGGACCTATTTTTTGAAGACACAGTTTGCCAAAACTCACACAAGTATAAATAGACAATCTGTGTAGACGTGTATCTAGACCTGAATAGACCTATGTATCAACAGATGCTGAAAATCATTTGACAAAATCCAGTACTTCTTCATGATGAAAACTCTCAGCAACCTAGGAATAGAGGGTAACTTCCTCAACTTGACAAAGAACATATTTATTCCTCATCTTGATAAAGAACAAAAACCCTGTAACTAACATCATACTTAATGGTGAGAAACTTGAAGTTCTCCTGCTATGATCAGGAACAAGGCAGGGATGTCTGCTCTCACCACTGCTTTTCAACACTGTACTGAAGTCCTAAGTAATGTAACAGGACAAGAAAAGGAAATAAAAGGTATACAGATTGGCATGGAAGAAATCAAACTGTCTTTGTTCACAGATGACTTTAGTGTCTGCGTAGAAAAAAACCTCCTGGTACCAATATAGTGATTTTAGCAAGATTTTAGAATACAAGATTAATATACAAAAGTCAATCACTTTCCTGTGTACCAGCAATGAACAAGTGTAATTTGAAATTTAAAACACATTACCATTTACAATAGCACCCCAAAAATGAAATACTGAGGTTTAAATCTAACAAAATATGTACAAGATCAATATGAGAAAAACAATGAAACTCAGACAACAGATATCAAAGAACTAAATAAATGGAGAGATATTCCATGTTCAGGGATAGAAAGAATCAATAGTGTCAAGATGTCACTTATTGCTAAAACTTGATCTATAGATGTCATAAAATCCCAGCCAGAATCTCAGGAAGTTATTTTTTTTGGATATTGACAAACTGATTCTAAAGTTTATATGGAAAGGCAAAAGACCCAAAACAGCTAACACAGTGTTGAACGAGAGCAACAGTCAGTGGCCTGACACTACCCAACTTCAAGGCTTACTGTAAAGCTACAGGAATAAGACAGTGTAGTATTGATAAAATAATAGACAAATAGATCTGTGTAACAGAATAGAGAGCCCGTAAATACACCCACATAAATATAATCAACTGATCTTCAACAAAGGATCAAAGGCAATACAATGGAGAAAAGGTAGTCTTTTCAACAAATGGTACTAGAACTGGACATCCACATGCAAAAAAATTAATCTAGACTAGACCTTACATCTTTCATAAATGGATTTTAGACCCTAAAGGTAAAACACAAAACTATTAAGCTCCTAGAAGATAACATAAGAGAAACCTAGATGACCTTGGGTATGGCCATGAATTTTTAGATTCAACACCAAAGGCATGATGCATGAAATAAATAATTGAATGCTAAACTTTATTAAATTAAAATATTCTCCTCTGTGAAAGACAGTGTCAAGAGAAAAAGAAGACAAGCCACAGACTCGGAGAAAATATTTGCCAAAGACCATCTAATAACTGTTACCCAGAATATGTGGAGAACTCTTAAAATTCAACAAGAAAAGACAAACACCCCAATTAAAAAAAACCAAGGACCTACTGTATAGCACAGGGAACTATAGTCAATATCCTGTAATAGCCTAAAATGGAAAAGAATCTGAAAAGTAATACATATATATATATATACACACACACATATATATATATATATGAACCACTTTTCTGTACGTCTGAAGCTAACACAACATTGTAAATCAACTATACTTCAATAAAAATAAAAGGGAAAAAGACTTGAAAAGACACATCACTGAAGAAGATGACATGTAAGCTATGGAAAAATGTCCAGCATCATAAGTTATTAGGGAATTGCAAATTAAAACGACAGGGAGGTACTACTACGTGCCTATTCGAATGGCCCATCTAAAACACTGACAACACCGAAGGATGGTGAGGATGTGCAGCAGCAGGAACTCTCATTCATTGCTGGTGGGAATGCAAAATGGGGCAGACACTTGGGAAGACAGTTCGATAGTTTGTTACAAAATAAACGTACCCTTACCAGGATCGAGCAATCTCTTCTTTTTCCACTCCTTCTTATTTACCTAAATGAATTGAAAAGTTACGTCCAGACAAAAACCTGCATACGGATGTTTATAGTGGCTTTATTCATAATTGCCCAAACTTGCAAACAACCACATGTCCTTCAATAGGTGAATGGGTCAACAAACCACGGTACATCAAAGCAATGGACTGTTATTCAGTGCTAAGAAGAAATGAGCTATCAAGCCATGAAAAGACATTGAATACATATTACTAAGTGTAAGAAACCGATCTGGAAAAAACACCATACTCTATGATTTCCAGCTATATTCTGGAAAAGGCAAAGCTATGGAGACAGTAAAAAGATCAATGGGGGCTTCCCTGGTGGCGCAGTGGTTGAGAGTCCGCCTGCCGATGCAGGGGACGTGGGTTCGTGCCCCGGTCCGGGAAGATCCCACATGCCGCAGAGCGGCTGGGCCCGTGAGCCATGGCCGCTGAGCCTGCGCGTCCGGAGCCTGTGCTCCGCAACGGGAGAGGCCACAACAGTGAGTCGCCCGTTGCGCACAAAACAACAAAAAAAAAAAAAAAAAAAAACGCCCAAGAACTACACAAAAAAAAAAAAAAAAAAAAAAAAAAAGATCAATGGTTACGTGAAACTATTGTATGATGCTACAATGGTGATGCATGTCGTTATGCATTTGTCAAAACCCGTAGAATGTACAACTCCAAGAGTGAACCCTAATGTAAACTCTGGACTTTGGATGGTAATGATGTGTCAGGGTAGGTTCATCGTTACAACAAATGTACCATCTGGTAGGGATGTTGATAGTGGCGGAGCTTGTGCGTGTTGGGGAACCGGGGGGGTGAATGAAAATCTCTGTAATTTCTACTCAGTTTTGCTGTAAACCTCAAACTGCTCTAAAAATAAAGTTTATTAATTTTTTAAAAAGTAAAACAGAGTTAGAAGAAAGTGAAAATTAAATGACTCCATTTTGCCTGTATATTTAAATATCTTTCCCTTATGTTTCTTTTCCAAATATAAACTCAAAATTTGTTTACACACAAACATTAATAGTAATCGTACATACCAAGGATAAACTATAACAGCCTATTTAATTCACATGTGGTTGAGATAATGTATATTTTCAATGAAAAGTAATATTGTCATAACATTACTAATTGAAAAAAAGTGTATTTTTAAAATTTATCCAGAATGCTAGGTGTCATTAGAGGAGGAAGAAAGCAGGTATTTGTAGCAGTTTCTTATACTTGTAAGCACCGAAAGGTTGGTAGCACCGCTTTTTTATCCTGCCAGTTTTCACTGCAAATTATTTACTTTTTTGGGGAAATATATCACTAGTTCCACCCAGATAAAGGAATTTAATGGGATGAAGATAGAAATTGGAGAAGAAAGAGAAGAGGAAAAAAGAAGAGATCTTTTCAGGAGGTGGAAATATGAACGAGAAAAGATATAAAGAGGAAAGTAGCTTTATAAATAAATGAGATATAACGTAACTGACTCTGGGCTCTTTTACTCTAAAATCCTCTGCCCTGCCACATAAACAATTTATATTCTGTAATTTCCAGCTTCCTTCTGTCCTCTCTTCACAATGAACACTACTGTTAAGCCAGTTTGTATTCCTGCCTTGTGTACCTCGAATAGTTTCTGTGAGGACGTAGCGTCAATGTGAAGACTGAAGTTCTGAGACAGAGGTCACAATCCTCCCAATATTGTATTGGCTCACAGTGTTTTTCACTTGAATTTGCTGCCTTGAAGGAATTGCCAGTGTATAAAAATTGGTACGTTTACATAAACATCTGGATAGTTCCATTTCTTTGGGAAGTTCCAGAAATCTGGCAACATGGAGTAACCTTCTCCAGTGGTACTAGACCCTTTAGATAGGATATACACTTTCTATTTCACTCTGGTCCTTGTCACTCCTGGTAGGATTACCAACCCTTGGTCAAGTGTCAGTCGTCATTTATTTTATAATCTCTCGCTTCCTTAACTGAAATGACCTGCCTTGATGTTTGTTGACATTTGGAGATTTCAACTCCTGTTCTTTGAAAGTAGACGCTGAGATTGATAGCACTAGTAGAAAATGTTTTCAGGGCGTAAAGATAAGGATTGAAGAAAACAGATGTAAAACAAAGAAGAGGAAGTTTATTGAATAATGGAATTGACTGATATGCCTCTGAATTTGTTTCTCAAGGCAAACATGTCCCAGGTAAGACAAGTGGGACTGCTGGCTGCTGGATGTCAGCCATGGAACAAAGATGTGTGCGTTGCCAATGGAGACAGGTTTGCGTACTGTGCTACCCTGGCCATCTATGTTTATCAGGTAAAAGAATGCTGATTCTTTCCAAGTTTTCCTTTTATCAGGTAAAATTACTATTTAATTAATACTTGAAAAGCTTAATGCTGTAACTTTATTGATATTGGTATTTTATTGTATATTTTGTTACTATTTATTAGTTTTCCAAGTCAAGCTTTTAGAAAATGCTCGTATCATAATATTAAATTATTAGCAAATTCTTAATTGATTTAGTAATCCTATTTTGATGCTATTCATCGAAAAGAATTTCTTCAAGAATTAAAGATCCTGTTTTATGAACAGTGAACAAGTAGTTCTTAATTCTTTTAAACTATATTCCCATATAATTAAATGGAATTCATGTGCCCATTTATTTCAAACCTTGCTCAGTAACATGTGATACGAGAAAATAGTCTTATCAGTTGAAGAAGTGAGTCGTCCTTTAGAGAGCCTTCTATTAAAAATAGTGCAGTTGTAACACATTTTGAGATAGTCTTGGGATAAACACCTTTATCACTACCTTTTTTCATGTGCTGGCTCCGTGCAGACATCTCTTATCAGTTCCCAATCTACACAGCCAACGGCCTTCTGAATTTTTTCATATAGAGGTGACATGAGCATCATAAATCCAAGTCCGGTTTTTCTTCTTAAACCTGGAGCCAGTATTTCAGTGTCACCCACTAACCATTAGTCTAAACCACAGATGTGAGAGTTATCACCGACTCCCTCTTCTACTCACATCCTGCACCCTAGGTAACCAGGACTGGTTCTGCTACTTTCTACCTTTTACTCCCTTCTACATATCCTTCTCACCTAAACTACTATAACAGTTTCTTAATATTCTCTTTGCCTCTATCTTGACTCCCTCTAATTTATCCTTCAGTGTAATCAGTCATCTATAATGCAAATCTAAACTTTTCAGTCTTCAGTCGCTCCTCATTCCTTAATATTAACATCCAACCTCATGGTATGACATCCTTTCATGATCTTCCTGTCTCCGTCTCCCTGTCACCTTGTGCTCCAGACCCTGAGATCATTGCCTTTTCCAAAACTACTCAGACTCTTCTGTATCTTGCCTGTGCTTGCACTAATTTTTCAGTTTGCCCACATTGCCTGTCCAGAGACGTTTTCTCATCTTTCAAATGTCAGCTCAAATGTATAAGCTCTTTTCTACATACTGCTTTTTCCTCGTTCTTAGTGAAGGACCGTATGGAATGGATTGCGTCTCTACATGCTTCCATTGACCAGAATGGGTCTTTCTCATCTTTGAATTCTCAAGTTACTGCACACTCTCTGGCACTTAGTAACCACTTAGTAAATGTTTCTTGAATTTTTTTTATCTTGAAATACCAACTCATTTCAGTTAAGAGGGAAAAAAAAATTATTGCTTTATCCTGGAGTAAAAATTCCTTTAAATTGCTAATAGTGTTGTAGTTTATTGAAAATTTAAGAAATAATAGCATTCATCTATAAACCAATTAAGTTTCCACAATGCTAAGATTTTATGTAGTCCATTTCTCAAGATTGAGGAAATATCTAGCAATCAAAATGCAATTTCAATGTAACTCACATCTTTTTTTCACTTCCCGTTCCCCAGAAGACAGGAGCAAGCCTTCTAAATGCCCCTTTTGTTCTGCCATCTACCTCTTTTTTTTTTTTTTTTTTTTTTTTGCCATCTACCTCTTTACCACCCTGTGTGTGTTGCTAAGCTTCCTCTTAAGAAATTTCTCCCTTAATCTTTGGTCCCTATTGTCTTGTCTTTTACTTCCTCCTAAAGAAGAAGAATTTATCAGGCAGGGAAAACTATTCCTCTGAGGAGTCAGGAAGGTAAGAAAGTGGATGAAGGCGAAACTGAATTTTTTTAATGTTTGCATATATCTTGTTTAATGATGACATTTTATGACTTGAATACTTAGGAAGATTAAGCTAAAAGTATTAATCTAAAAAACCTATGAAGAAAGTTTGCGTGTTATTAAAGACTAAAACAAACTAAAAATTACCCTGATTTAGAAGTTAATACAAACAAACTTGGGTGACAGTTAGCAGTTAGGATTTTACTGCAAGTATACGGTTAAAGAAAGGTTGGTGTAGTTAATAGTTAATATGACAATGATTTGAGTAACTCTTATGTAACACTGTGAAAGGTTTGTTATGTGTTAAAGGGAAAAACCAGGTTCAACAAAATGACGTATACAGTATATACATCTCAAACATGGTAAAACTGATAGAAAGATGAATTGATCCACTAATTAATGGCACATTTACAAAGAAAATAGGAAAACTAGGCTATTCCTTTTGTCCACTTACGTATAAAAACACAACATAATGCCCCTTCCAAAAAGCAATAACATAAAACAGGTCCAAATGATACCATTGCTCTGCAAACTTTGGACATCTTAATAATGTAGTAATGAGCAGCTGGCTTATTTAACCTACATTTTTTTGACTCAAATATAAGTTAAAAATTTGCAGAAAAAATATTTTAAGAACAAGGTGTTTTTCCCTCATAAATAGAGCTATGGAAAATAAGTCTCTGAATTATTATGCATATTTAAATGTACATTTATTGTTACTTCTTTTTAAAATTGGTATGTTTAATTTCAATTCTCTTTTATTTTTTTGAAAAATGATTTCTTTCACATTGAATACATTTGAATTCACTTGAAAGTAGACCAAGGCTTGAATTATGTTCATATCTTGTTATTGGGTGTACTAATTTTCATGTATGTAGCTTTTAAAAAATAATGTGATGATTAATGGAAAGTGTATTACAAAGAAAGAAGCACTGACATGTTTTATTTATATATTTTTTAGTTGGATCACCGTTATAATGAATTCAAACTTCACGCAATTATGTCTGAACATAAAAAAACAATCACAGCTATCTCTTGGTGTCCACATAACCCTGATCTGTTTGCAAGTGGCAGTACCGATAATTTAGTGATCATTTGGAATGTTGCAGAACAAAAAGTCATTGCTAAACTCGACAATACGAAAGGTATACCTATAACTGGGATTTATTTTATTGAATGAAAATAAATAGAATGTTACATGTGAATTATACCTCAGTTTTTTTTCTATTATTTCAATAAGCAAAATATTTTATTTCAATCAGCTCAAGTTTTAAAGTAGTGTTTTTCAAGCTTTCTAATGGTAATCTATATAAGAAACACATTTCACATCATGACTCATTATTGTGTATGTGCATGTGTACAAAACTGAAACAAAATTTCATGAAATTATCAGACTTAGTACACTGATCAATTAAAAAACATAGTCAACACCAAATAACTTTATTAATATTTAAATATAATATTAAAAATTCCAAAATAAACATAAAAATAATAATTAGATACTATTTTCTCAATGAGACAATTGGCCTTGCTTGAAACATACAAAGACAGTATGACGCATGTAGTCACTGCTCTGCTGAGTTGACTTTTTCCTATATTTTTAGGTCAAAGTAGAAAGTTCTAGTTTATGCAGATAGATCTTTGTGAATGGCATAATATCATTACTTTCTTTCTACCTAGCATCTTACCCCATAATGATGATGAAGTTAAATAATCATTTTTCTGTGTTAAATGTCATAATAATTCAGTTCTCTTTTTGAGTGCTGAGTGTAGCTCCATTACCGATTATGTTTTTGAAAGCTACTGCTGGATATATTTTCCATATTCAGCCTTTTCTCTAAAAAATACTGGTTGTAACTTTGAGATAGTAAACTGAGATGTGACAGTGTCACAAACTTTACTTTTCACAGAGTTTCTTTATAATATTCTTTTCAGTGTGTAACAACAATATTGAGAAGTCATAGGCAATTGTATTTAAATCTTGCTTCCAATATAACAGTAATGATGCCTTTTGGAACCTTTGGATATGTTCGACATAGATTGAGTATGGCTTTTCCCTTGTCTTTTCAAAGTTAGGTCGTTAGGAATGCTGAAAACACCCGAAAAACACACCAATTTTGTTATGTAACTTTTGTCCTAAAAAATATTTACCAAATATTTTCAGCTAGGAAAATGAGCATCTCCTTCCCAAGTTCATATACGCTGCTTATTATCTTCACTTGCAGCGACCAATGAATTTCAGTATTAGACAGTGAGTAGTTTGCTTCAATGTCCGAGCAAAATCTTTTTAAAAGTCATCTATTCAGTGAGCTTCCATTAATGTAAGTAACGGTTTTCCTTAAGGTTTTCACTACTCCAATGAGAAAAAGCCAAATTAGGTTTGGTACAAAGCTTTGTGGTGTATAAACAGTGATTAATAGCCTCAATCAAGATTTCAAGCTTTTCTGGTCATAGCCCTTTCTCCACCAATCACAGATCCTACGGTTTTACCAGTATTGTTTATATTGATCAACAGTGCACTTTCCCACTACTTTAAATACAGCTTTGTGTGAGATTAATTTTAAATAACACAATAAATACTCCTTAAAATTCTTTCCATATTTTATGCGCCATAAACTAAAAATGTTATGCAATGCCATTGTGCTTATAAAGTTGTCGCACAAAATCTATACTAGACTGTAACTGCATAATAACATTTTCTAAATGTTATGCATAAGGACAGATTAGACAGCATATTATGGTATCATTACCTAGTTTGTCCACTGATTTGTCATCAAACACCATATGCATCACATCCATTCATTGTGGAAGAGATTTTTGTTCATCAACTGTGTGCACCATAGCTTCCTTTGCCACTGAATATGCAATTAAATAAGACTTTTTCATTAACATGTGTAGAATGATTAAATAATTGTGGTAACAATTTTGATCAATTTAATATATTTTTTCTGAAAAATTTTAGGGTAAATTCCTTATGTTTTCAAAGATCTTAATTTGAAGATTGAAAGTTTTGATATTTTATTTGCAAAAATTATGAATATTTTTGGTCATTTTTATTTAAAATAATCCCCTTTGAAAAGGCTTAGACTCCTTTTTTCTTTTCAGAATCCAGTTTAAACAAAGTAGAAGTTTGCATTGTCAACTTAAAAAAAAATAAATATTAGAACTTCCACATCCGGCTGTTGAACTTGAACATGCCTCTGTATTCTTTTTACTTCATCATTCTTTGTTCTTAATATTAAAAAAGTCACTTAAAAGAAAATGAGTATTACTTTGTTTAAATGTAAAAGGTTAAAAAATTGTCACCAACCTGAAAAATGTCACACTTAATAATACACTTTCAGAAAAAAAAAAAAAAAAACTGTTAACAGTGGAGAATAATACTACCTGCCTATCTCAGAATATTGTTGGGAGAATTCAATGAGTGGATATTTGTAGAGCTCTTAGAAGTGCTTGCGTGTGACAAGCCAGTATAGCAGTGTTTTCTATTATAACTACAGGACATCGTTTCTGGTCCTTTCTCTTCCTTGCTGTGCTTCTCAAAACACACATTCCGAGAGCCATCATTCCAGTGGCTTCCTTCAAGTGGGCTGTGGTGGTTTGACCCATACAGCATGTCTTATCCCTTATTGGGGAAATTCTACTTCTGTTAATGTATCCAAAAACCAAACAGCTTTTTTATTGGCCTTATTTGTGTACTCATTCATTCATTCAGTGAGTATTTATGGAGTTCCCATTGTATGTCAAGCCCTGAAACAGTTTCCTTTCTCTCTCTTTTTTTTTTTAAACATCTTTATTGGAGTATAACTGCTTTACAGTGGGGTGTTCGTTTCTGCTTTATAACCAAGTGAATCAGCTTTAGCTTCTGCCTCTTGGCACATTGTAGGCTGCTGACACAAACTGAATTTACGGTCAATGAACAACTTTCAACCCTGTGTCTTTGTTCATAGCGTTTCCTCTTCCCGGGAAATACGTCTTGACCCACGTATTGAAACTCCGCTGTTCCTTCAAGGTGTAATTCAAATCCAGTTTCTTTCCAGGGCAGTAGCCCAAACGGTCACAAACCCTTATACACATAAAAATCATTTGGAGAACCTTGTTAGAAATAGATTCCTGGGCCCTAACTCCACACGATCTGATATGCATATTCAGTTTGATGATTCCGATTCTATGTCGGGAGATTCACAGCCTGTCTCCTGAGTCATAAATTTACCATAACATTTATTTCATCTATTATTTATTTGATCACAATAACAGGAGACTAACAGTTAACTTTTGTATTTTGTCTTTTAGTTTAAAAAGGATTTTTACATACACCATTATTTTTTCTTGCCCTAACTTTCATGTGAAACAGGTGGTCAGCTATTTTTAGTCATGTCTCTTTTATGTGAGGAAACAGGTTTACAGAGGTAAAGTGGCTTGTTTAGATCATCCGAGGCAAAACCAAGACTTAAATCCAACTCCTGATAAGAAGTAGTTTGTAGTGTTAATTTTGTTGTTATTAAATCCTTATAGGGGCTTCCCTGGTGGCGCAGTGGTTGAGAGTCCGCCTGCCGATGCAGGAGACACAGGTTCGTGCCCCAGTCTGGGAAGATCCCACATGCCGCGGAGCGGCTGGGCCCGTGAGCCATGGCCGCTGAGCCTGCGCGTCTGGAGCCTGTGCTCTGCAGCGGGAGAGGCCACAACAATGAGAGGCCCACGTACCGCAAAAAAAAAAAAAAAAAAAAATCCTTATAGTAGCATGCAACTTTTCATAATTGTAATCATCTCCCCAATTTATACTTAAGATCCTTTAAAGCAGGAATTGTCTCCTATATTAACTTGTATACCTAGAACGCCTAAAGCAGGTCTTATACACAAAAACTCAGTAAGAATTTATTGCTTTAATATATAGTTTTCTGAAAGAAAGAAAGAACTCTATACATTTCTTTGAGTATGTGAAGCATATGATCATATTAGTAGTTTCAAACCAGAAACTAGGTACTTTTTCATCATAGAAGTACCCTGCATATGTTCCCTGCAGCCTTTAGGGTTACTTTATAAATCAAATTTCCAAGTAAGAAGGTAATATTTTTTAATAATGAACCCAGTCTTGTATTTTAGTTGTTGTAGAAAGGTAGGAGGCAAATCACATTTAACGGTACGATCTTATGCCATGTTTCTCTACTGTGTATCTGTATTTAATTTATTCCAGGGACGCCTGCCTCTCTCAGCTGGTGCTGGAATGCAGATGACGCAGTGGCGTTTGCTTCCCAGAGAGGCCCACTGTTCATCTGGACCATCTCAGGACCGGACAGTGGCGTGACTGTGCACAGAGAAGCCCATAGCTTCCTGTCTGATATCTGTATATTCAGATGGCATACCCAGAAAAAGGGGAAAGTTGTCTTTGGTCATATTGATGGAAGTCTATCAATTTTTCAACCAGGTAAGAATTTTACTAGTCAGGTCTCTTAAATTTTATTTTTCTCAGCATATATAATTTCTTACTTACACAGCATAGAAAGTTAACAGTATTTTAATTTTTAAATAATAGTTGTGCAAATATTATCCAGCACTATGCCAATTCCAAATAACCTTTGGAAGTAAATCTTATTGGTAAGTCATCGTAGTACATTTAACTCAGCTCTGCGGATTTTACTTTGAGTTAACCCCTGTCAGGCATTTGTCCTGCATTTTTACTTTTTAAAGTCAGTTGTTTCATTCTGCGTATTTATTAAGAAAATGGCCTGAATGACAAAGGACCTACAGCTGGATTATATAATAACTTACTAATACTACTCAAAAATATTTTCGCACCTGCTTGTAAAATACCATTTAGTTGTCACAGCTCCTTAGCAAAGAGTTTGAACTTGGATAAAAAGGAACAATAACTCCCTGTAGCTCTATTAGTTAATTAACATGGCTCAGTGGAAAGGTCTGAGAAATTAGTTTATGTTTATTTTTAAAATTTAAACAATAACAAAATATATAATAAAAAATTGAAAAATTAGATGAACAGTTCTCCACTTATAAGTCAGCACTGCTGACATTTGAAAAACGTGCTTTTAGCCATTGGTATCTGTTGATGGATGTGACTCCTGGTTCACTAGGTAGATGGATGAAAGTGCTGCTTCAGGATTAGAATAACTACTTTCACAAGGCGTATTACATTCAATTTATCTGAAATTAATAGAAGAAAGAAGAAATTGAACAGAACAGTGAACATCCAAATAAATCTTTTCTTTCCTTAGGGAATGATCTTTCTAATGTTAAAAAAAAAGCTATATAAATTATTGGTAAAGTCAGGCCATTTTATTTTATTTTTTAATTTTTTAACACTATTTTTTTTATTTTTTTAACACCTTTATTGGAGTATAATTGCTTTACAATGGTGTGTTAATTTCTGCTTTATAACAAAGTGAATCAGTTATACACATACATATGTTCCCATATCTCTTCCCTCTTGCGTCTCCCTCCCTCACACCCTCCCTATCCCACCCCTCTAGGTGGTCACAAGGCACCGAGCTGATCTCCCTGTGCTCTGCAGCTGCTTCCCACTAGCTATCTATTTTACGCTTGGTAGTGTACATATGTCCATGACAGTCTCTCACTTTGTCCCAGCTTACCCTTCCCCCTCCCCGTATCCTCAAATCCATGCTCTAGTAGGTCTGTGTCTTTATTCCTGTCTTACCCCTAGGTTCTTCATGACCGTTATTTTTTTCTTTTAGATTCCATATATATGTGTTAGCATACGGTATTTGTTTTTCTCTTTCTGACTTACATCACTCTGTATGACAGACTCTAGGTCCATCCACCTCACTACAAATAACTCAATTTCGTTTCTTTTTATGGCTGAGTAATATTCCATTGTATGTGTGTGCCACATCTTCTTTATCCATCGGACCATTTTATTTTAAATACATTTTTTTTTTTTTTTTTTTTTGCGGTACACAGGCCTCTCACTGCTGTGGCCTCTCTCACTGCAGAGCACAGGCTCCGGACGCGCAGGCTCAGCGGCCATGGCTGACGGGCCCAGCTGCTCCGCGGCATGTGGGATCTTCCCGGACCAGGGCACGAACCCACATCCCCTGCATCGGCAGGCGGACTCTCAACCACTGCGCCACCAGGGAAGCCCTGGAATATTTTTAATAACCATAGATACTAACGGGCACATTCAAATACCTAATAATTACTTAAATAGCTGATTAACTTAGGTTAATCATTTTTCTACCTCTCTGTGATTTGTAATGATCAACTATATTAATATTCATTACTGTTTATTTTATCAAATAGCAACTTTAAAGATGCTTATTTTGGGAAAGAAGAAGCAAGCAAACTTTTCTTGATGGTTATTGCAAAAGTTTGATAAAGTCAAATAAGAGAAGCTTCACATGCACCTTCTGTGATTATATCTGCAAAATATCTAAATAAAACACTCCCTACCTAAGAATACCATTATATTGAAAGAATATGTTCTGACGAATTAACCTCAAGCCAGAAACTATAAGATTTTTCAGTTAACTTTACAAATGTCTTATATATACAAGGAGATCTATTTTTTCTGCTTTTATAATCTGATACATTGAAAAACAGTATGTAACGAAGACATTGCAGGAAGAGCTATGGTATCTTTCAATAGTGTTATTTTTAAAATAGACACTTCTTCAACGTTTACAGTACTTAGGAATAATTGGTACTTCTGTTAAGGTTGTAATCTGTAAACTTAGTGTTTCACTGCCTTTCTTTTGTGAACGAGAGAACTGTTTAATTGGAGTCCCCATTGGTGCGTTAGCAAAGGCCTTTTTTTCCGTATCGCCAGCGTGTATATATTTTGGAAGAAATAAGAGGATTGTTTGCTGATCCTTTTCTTCACTTAATCTCACTTGTTTCATCTCCCTGTTTTTCTGGCTGCCTCTTTGTTCTGGTAGCCAGGAGTGAATTATGATATGACAAGTGATAGGATGAATGAGGACGGATGACAGTAAACATTGGTATGCTGTTTATCGTATGCCCCACTGTTTGAAGCACTTCAAGCAACTAACTCGTTTACTCTTGAACAAACAAACAAACTCTGGTATCGTTATGTTCTCCACTGTAAAATAAAAAACTGAGCACACAGAGATTAAGTATCTTGGGACTAGGATCTGGACCCAGGCAGCCCTCCAAAGTCTGTGCTTTTAGTCAGAACGCGTTGTTCTTCCCTTCGGTAAACACTTCCCTATCCCTATGCTGTTGTAACTCAGTGAAATTGTAGTTGATGACAAGATGATGTATATTATTTTCCTACGTCTTTTTCTTACAGCTTTTCAGTAACAAATAGAAAAACATGCAGGGTACTGGGGATTGCCAAGGCAAAGCAGTCCAGTACGACTTTCATCCTTAGGGCAAACTCTAATTCCCCTGCATTCCCTTGTCAGTTATGACTTCTGCATAAAAATGCCAGACTTGTATTCCCAGGACCCTCAGAGATCAGTGGTATGCAAGGAGGAAGTTCATGTCATCTCAATGATTAATCTTATTTTGGAAATTTTGTTTAAAATCATGCTCTTTACATTTTAATAGGTAGTAAAAGTCAGAAACATGTTCTGAGACCTGAATCTCTTGAAGGGACCGACGAAGAGGATCCCGTTACAGCCCTGGAATGGGACCCACTGTCTACTGATTACCTCCTAGTGGCTAATTTGCATCGTGGAATTCGCCTAGTAGATTCAGAATCACTTTGTTGCATAACAACATTTAATTTTCCCAGTGCAGTAGCTTCTGTGCAGTGCTTGGCCTGGGTTCCCGGTGCTCCTGGCATGTTTATAACTGGAGGTAACTTTACCCTACTCCCAGAGGTTTAAATATGTGTATATTCTTTAACTGAATCAGGGAGATTGTACTTTTATTGGTTAATTTTGTGTAAAACTTATTAATATCTCAAACATTATTATTATAGTAAATAGCTCGTTTACTTTTATTTATACAGTGCATCATTAATACAATGACAAATAAAAATGAAAGGAAGGCCCGGTTTTCCAGGTTTCTGGTAACATTGGGATATGTTATATATGTACACACATGTGTGCATGTCTGTGTTTGTGTGTATACAAAAGACAAAGGCAGTTCACTTTCAGCCATGGCAGGGTGACAGTAAAAATACTGGCTAGAAAAACAGTCTGTCTGGATGAGGAGTCTGTTAGCCTCACTGAGGATTTTGACAGTCATGATTTCCTAATCATAAGAGAATTAGCAAAACTAAGAAGTGATGGGGGATGGGAAGGTGGGGAATTTAAAATAGAAATTAGGAATTAAATGACTCTTACCGTTTACTTAGCTTCAGAGAGAGAGAGGTCTCTGAAGAGACAGCACTTTCAGCTACTGTATAAATACTTCCCATATTTGCTAAGTGTAAAATGAAAGACAAAGAGTCTTTACCTTTTCAACATTTTTAAAGAAGTCTTTACTTCTTTAAGCACTTAAACTGCACATAGAAGTAGATGGATTCTTATTGATGTACCTTCATTGCCTTTAATTTCACAGGATATAATTAATGATAGATATATATTAATAATAATATACCTATTATTATTATCATTATTATTGAGCTGAGATTCACATACCATAAAAACTCACCGTGTACACTTAAGGTGTACAGTGTAGTGGTCTCTGTGTTCACAGAGTTCTGCGACCATTAGCATCATTTAACTCCAGAGCGTTTCCTCATCCCCCTAATAAGCCCTGGACCCATCCGCAAGTCACTCTTTATTACGCCCTCCACACCCCTTAGTCACTCCTGTGTGTACGTAAACCACGAATCTACTTTCTCTTTTGGTGGATTTGCTTGTTCCGGACGTTTCATAGAAGCAGAGTCATTCAACATGTGGCCTTTTATGTCTGGCTTCTTTCACTTAACATAGAGTTTTCAAGGTTCATCCGTGATGTAGCATGGATGAGTACTTCATTCCTTTTTATAGATGAGTAATATTCCATGGTACGGATATGCCAGGTTTTGTTTATCCATTTATCAGCTGATAGACATTATCTTGTTTCCGGTTTTGTGTGGTTATGAATGCTGCTGGGAACATTTGTGCGCAGGCTTTATGGGGACACATGTCTGTAATTCGGTTGGGTGTATATGCAGGAGTGCAATTTTTGGGTCACATGGTGACTCTGCGTTTAATCATTTGAGGAACTGCCAGACTCTTTCCAGAGTAGCTTATTAAGGTAGGACTTTTCGAAGGAGGGGGCTTTCTAATTAATCTTCAGGCAGTCCTTGTTTGGCTGCAAGTGAGCAAGGAAGCAGTTTACAAGCATTTCGAAAGGTGAAGGGTTACTTAATGGTAGAGGTGGAAAGTTTTCTGTGGCTGGCTTTCCTAGAGCAAGTGTGTCCCTGGGGTGCTTTTTTGTGGTCACATTGTCATAATGATCTTTGTCGGGGAGGCTCCCAAGGCAGGCAGTCTCTCACCCGAGAAGGGGATTTGGAACAGGAAAAAAAAGGCAAATTGAAATTGGAAGGATGAATATCACTTCGGCTGTTTCTTTGTATTATGATATAATATTACTGTGTGAAGAATGTCAGTAAGTGGTGCTAAAAATCTGGCAAGTTGAAATTTTGTTATTACTTTTATATCTAGGCATTTTATGTTTCAAATAAAATTTGTTAATATAATGCTTTTTTCTTGATCTGACTAGATTCTCAAGTGGGTGTTTTGCGCGTTTGGAATGTTTCTAGAGCAACACCTGTTGATAATTTTAAATTAAAGAAAACAGGGTTTCACTGCTTACATGTACTGAATTCTCCTCCAAGGAAGAAATGTAAGTAAAAATATCAAAATTGGATATTTTAAAATATCGTACTTGCTGCTATCCAATAAAATGAGTGATATAATGATATAAACGTATCAAATACTGCTACTGAAAAGCAAATTTAAAAAAATAGCCTTTGACAATATACGTGCTAAAGGTACCATCAAAGCCACACAATATCTAATATTGCTAAATTGAAAATATTTAGAGCAAAGTTACATTTAAAAATGCTATTAAGTGAGGATATTAAGATAATTTCAAATCTACATGGGGAAAATGAGACAATGATATTGGTGAAAATAAAAAATATCAAGAGTGATGGGATTAAATAAAATTGGTCTGAACTAGGGGACTTTGTTTTAAACGTGGCTCTTTTACAATCTATATGGTTTATAACAAAGTTAAAATAACCTAAACATTGGAAATGTAGGATCTAGAATATATATTCCATGTTTGAACGTATTGCATGTTTGTTGCAGGATTAGTAGTTAGTGTTATAGATGTTCTTCATTTATTTTTGTGTTTTTTTTCTAATTACCTTTTATTACTTCTACGATTAAGAAAAAATTATAAAATACATTTAAGGTACAAAAGAAAAATCTGGAGTATGGGGGGGGAGGTTTAGAATTAGAATTTTTCCTAAATATGAGGGAGAAGAAATTGACTTCCTATTTAAGTCAACTGTGGTTACTCTGCATGGTTGGTAGTGTTTCTTTTATTTCTGTGTGGATCATAAAAAAACTTGGGGAAAAGAGTAGTGATTGAACAACCTAGAGTTATTGATTCCTCCTTACTCACTGCTGTCTATGATATACTAAATAATTAGTGAGGCCTGTTCAAAATAATGTTGTTTTGGTTAGCAAATTTAGTATCTAATTTTGTGGGCAATGGCAAGTAGTAGAAACTCTCTGTATTTGAACCTCCAGTCTTTTCACAAATTTAAGCTTTTCCTAATACTTCTAAATCCTGGGAACTGGAGGGTCTAGAAGCATTAGGACTGGAGAAGTATTGATAGTATGCTGGGGACTGGCATATGTTTACGTATCCTGCATTTTTTGGAACTATTTTTTTCTTTGTTTATTTGCTGTGAACACCCATCTCGTAAGATGACTGAAATATCATAGGTTCTTTACTTCCTTATATTTTTCTTATTGCAAAAGTGGTCCAGGCCCATTAGAGAAAAGTCAGGAAATATAAAGAAGCACATACTGATCTTGTCATTTTTGAGTCATTCCTTTCAGGTTGTTGATAGTTTTTTCTCCCAATTTTTTAATGTAACAGAAAGCGTGGAGTAAGAAAATTTATGTAAAAATGAAAAACTTTAAATGTAGACATAATCATCAAATTCTGAAAAAAAGATGAATTATGGATAGATAGGAGCATAAAGGGTATCAAAACCACCTATAATATCAACAAATTAAAATATTAGAAAACAGTCATGGATTATATTAATTTTAACCAAACTTTCAGCAAAATTTCATTGAACCAAATGCTTCTTTTGTTATTAATGGTTCATTCTAGTTTGGACTGCCTGTCGTTCTCCGATTCTAAGAAATGAGTATTATCCTAATGAATGCAATAAGAAAGACTTTATTATATTTGAGTCAAAAAAGATAATATACTGGGAAATATTTATATTCCAGTGTGTAATTAATCTAGATTGGTGTGATAATTTATGGTGGTATCATTATTTTGAATTATATTTACAAGAGTATATTTATGTTCTAAGGAAAAGCTTTTTGAAAGAAGACAAAATATGTGATAAAGAATACAAAGAAAATAACTGAACAAGGAGACATTTATGTAATTGAAAGTGTATGAACAGTAAAAATTGAGGAAGAAGAGAGAAATTAAGATGCAAATGTATATCAGTTGTAATTCTTAATTTAGGTGCTAAATTAAAGTGAATTATAAATAATCTCAAAAATAATTATTTTCGGGCTTCCCTGGTGGCGCAGTGGTTGAGAGTCCGCCTGCCGATGGAGGGAACACGGGTTCGTGTCCCGGTCCGGGAAGATCCCACATGCCGTGGAGCGGCTGGGCCCGTGAGCCATGGCCGCTGAGCCTGCGCGTCCGGAGCCTGTTGCTCCGCAACGGGAGGGCACAGCAGTGAGAGGCCCGCGTACCGCAAAAAAAAGAAAAAACAAAATTATTTTCATTGGATTGAAAATTAGTGGAATAGAGTTATTAGTTTTAAAAGAAAAAAGTTCAGGTGCCTGTGTGTTTGCTTGTATAGAGGAAGAAGTAAGCTATTACATCAGCACTTTGAAAGAAACTTTTAATTCAGAAATAATCGTGCTGTGCTTTAATTTATGGGGCAATAAGAAACCAAATACGCACCACATATTGTGATTCCTCAGAAACTAATTTTCATTCATTTTGCACCACCTGCACTTCTATACACCTCTTTTCAAAATAATATCCCATTTTGTATATATAAATATATAAATATGGGCAATGCTGCTGAAGTACTCCTGTGGCAGAAAATCTGATCATTGCTTAAGAGTTTACTGATATAAATTCTGGATAAAAGAAAACAAAGAGCGTCTTTGTAAATTAAGTCCTGTGGCTTCATTCCAGCCTATGGGAAGATACTGGCATAAATGTTTACTTGTTTATTTATTTTTTTCTTTTCTAGTTTCAGTCCAGTCCCCAACCAAAAATCATTATACATCCTCAACGAGTGAAGCAGTACCACCCCCAACTTTGACACAGAATCAAGCATTTTCTGTTCCTCCTGGTCACGCAGTGTGCTGTTTCTTGGATGGTGGAGTTGGACTTTATGATATGGGAGCTAAGAAGTGGGATTTTCTTAGGGACTTGGTATGTCTGTGGTCATTCTTTTATACACAATACTTATTTTGTGTATAAAATGATGTTTATTTTTGTATTATTGATGATATTCTAAAATTATTTTCATAGAGAATCATATATTAGGACTTTATCTTGGTTGATTGAAACATTTTAGAAAAATGTATAGAACTATTAAAATTATTTAATTGTAAACATTATAAACATTAAACTTCTTTAAATATTAATGTCTGTTTAGCTTATCAGAATTACTCTGCATTTGGTAGTTTTCCCGTTATCGTGTGGGCTACGTTACTCCTTTGTGTAGTGGAAAATCACATAGTTGTAGTATATTTTGGAAGCAAAATGAGAAATAGAATATTCTTTCAGAAGGAAGGAGAAGTCCACCTCTGCCAGTTACTCTGAGCTTTCTTGTTCTCATTCATGAAATGAGCAAGCTTGGATTAAGTGTTTTCTAAGATTTATTTCTATTATGGAGTCATAATAATTCTATGAGTCTACGAACTTCTGTTCTCATGATCCTTAAGCCTCTGTGTAAAATAGAATACCGCCCTGCTGAGGACTCACATTTTGTCTGGGTTTGTTCTATGTTTTTTATGCTGCATCCCTAGGGTCATGTGGAAACTATCTTTGACTGCAAATTCAAACCTGATGATCCCAATCTTTTAGCAACAGCTTCCTTTGACGGCACAATAAAAGTCTGGGATATAAACACACTGACGGCAGTGTACACTTCCCCAGGGAATGAAGGGGTTATTTATTCCCTTTCATGGGCTCCAGGTAAGAAGTATTTTATTTTTTTGTGGTACGCGGCCTCTCACTGTTGTGGCCTCTCCCGTTGCGGAGCACAGGCTCTGGACACGCAGGCTCAGCGGCCGTGGCTCACAGGCCCAGCCGCTCCACGGCATGTGGGATCTTCTGGGGCCGGGGCACGAACCCGTGTCCCCTGCATCGGCAGGCGGACTCTCAACCACTGCGCCACCAGGGAAGCCCGACTTTCCTAACTTTTATTTTCATTTGTATTATCTTCTTCCTCACAGTGTCATCTTACTCCAAATGATTGTGGAGGCAGATTAGTACCAACATAGTTGTTGGTGCGGTTTTTGTGGGTTGTAGAATAGACTACTTGCCCAAGCACGTTGTTTTCTCGGCCCTTCTATATGACATAGTCATAAAGAAAAGCCACAGTAAATCAGAATGATACTGAGGCATCTAGTTTTAGCTCCATTTGTATAGATGTGCCTATGAAGGTGTAGTGTATTTCACATTATAGAAGTTTTCCTTAAAATTTTCATGTGAATCAAATATATGAAAATAAAACATGTATTTTCTAAAAATTGTAATACCTGTCTTTCTCTGATACATCTGTTTTGTGAATATGAATGATTATATATCATCACAGTTTAATTGTGAGCATGTGATTCTATATAAACTCCGCTTCTGTAATATTGAAGAACTTTTATGCTATAATAGGGTCTTTTCTTTGATCTCAGAATGATGCTACCTTTATACCTTCCTGTACGTAAAAGAGATGTCCTATGAAACCTCTGACATTTTCTTCCCAAATATTTTCTTCCTGTAATAAATAATTTTACACACCTAAAATGAATTTTTCACTTTATAAACTATGTAGAATGCTTTACTTATTTGTCCTAATACTAACATATTAATTTAAAACCCACTTATAACCAAGATGTAGCTTATTTTTTAGCTTATCTCCTTGTGCACAGAGATTTTTAGCCCTGAATATATGGGCTGTCAGGGTTTTGATGTCTTCAGAGAATTTGGGATTCTCTTGGAATTTTATGCATAATTTTTAGCATATGTGTGCATGTTCCTGTATCTGTCAAAGATTATCATAGCTATCAGATTTTCAGAGAAGTCCATGACACAAAAAAGGTAAAGAACTACTATTTTTGTATCCCTTATCTCCTACCGTGAGAAGATCTAGAAGAAGGTTTTACTTCCAAGTCTTAATGACAGCAGCTGTTCTCTGAAGCAGAAAATACTTAGTGCCATTATAGATCCAAAGCTAATTGGAAAAAAATGTTACTTCACTAATTAATAAGTAAGGAACAGGGCTTCCCTGGTGGCGCAGTGGTTGAGGGTCTGCCTGCCGATGCAGGGGACGCGGGTTCGTGTCCCGGTCCGGGAGGATCCCACATGCCGCGGAGCGGCTGGGCCCGTGAACCATGGCCGCTGAGCCTGTGCGTCCGGAGCCTGTACTCCACGACGGGGGAGGCTGCAGCGGTGAGAGGCCCACATACAGCAAAAAAAAAAAAAAAAAAAAAAAAAAGATGTAAGGAACAAAAAGAACTAGCACTCTTTTCTGCTCCCTTCTTTACCTCCATCTTCACTTTACTTTCGATTGTGAGAGCCAACATTTATTTAAGAGGATCTGAGGTCAGAGAGGTTGAGTAACTTACCCAAGATTATATACATAGGGAGTAGTGGTGGAGTCAAGATTTGAACCCTCGTCAATTTGATGTTGAAGCCTGTGCTCTTAGTCATGGTAGTTTGCATCGTCACAGCAGGGCCTGCTGGGTTGAGATACAGGAATTGGGCCACCTGTGCGGTGACACTGTAACAGCAACGAGCTGATCATTCTTTCTTCTACAAAACGTGTTCAAGTCTCAAACCTAAAGCTTGAATAGAAATTGTGACTGTGAAAACCATTGTTTCAAATCATAACACAGAAGGCCCAATCTTACTTCAAGCTTATTTCACTCTCTACATTGAGAATTTGCCTTAAGAAAATAAAAATGTTGTAAAATGGAAATTCTGCCACTTTTTGCAAAGTGATTACTAATGAATCACTATTGTTAGGTAAATATGGATGAAACTTAAAAGATTAGCAAAGGTTGACACTGGATGGAAGTAGAGTAGGTTATAGATGATTGCAGAATTTCCTTTATTTTTAGAGTAGATATCACTGGGAAATTTTTAGAAGTGCATATAAATATGGAAACTTACCCCCAATAATTTTAGAGCACTAAAAGGGTAGCAGAATGAAAACCCTAGAAAAAAATGGTGAGGGCTTTTCTTTTAGTGTTTATAGTCATTTATCACAAAATAGTTCCTCCATATTTTTACTCCTAGGAGACGGATAACAGCTATTTCTTTCTTCTAATGGAGCAAACCTCTTCTTTGACTGCCTTGCAAAAAATTCAAGACCAGCTACTAACTTAGCTGCAGTTCAATTTTAACAGATTTTTTTAACTTCTTAAAAACAAAGAGCATTGTTTATGTCTTTGATGGAGAAAATGAATTTTTTCATGTGTCCTGCTTAGAGAAATACTTTCCTAACCATTAAAAAAATTACTAGATGGTCAGAAAAGTGTAAATACCGAATGGATATGTAATAATATTGAGGAATTTTTGATAATTTTTCTATTTGTGATTGTAGTAGTTTGGTCATGTTAATAAAAGAGTTCCTGTATTTTAGACATCCATCCTCAAGGATACAATGTTAGAGATTTGCTCCAAAGAAATCCAGTAGGGGGCTATAGACGAAAAAAAGATTGACCATATTTTGATAATTGTTGAAATTGTATGATGGATTCATGCATTATACTGTTCTTTCTATATTTGCATACATTTGATAATTTTCATTATTTAAAAAAAAGAGCCACTTTGCAAACTCAAGTCTTTTTCAAAAATTACATTTTTGAAAAGAATTAACATTTGTGGCAAACATTTCATATAATGTCTAACAAATTGTTTCCTAAGGTGATTTAAATTGTATTGCTGGAGCAACTTCTCGAAATGGTGCTTTTATTTGGGATATTAAAAAGGGCAAAATCGTACAACGATTTAATGAGGTAAGATGTATTTATTGCTAGTCGAATAACATAATGCCTTATATGGCTTCACGTTTTTTAAATGCTTTCCTCTCTTAATTTATTAGTGAGTCACCAGGTGGCATTGTAGTCTTTTAATTAAAAGAAAATCCAAGAGGACATGCACGTGCTAAAATGAATTCTGAAAAATGTAGCTGAGCCTGAGATACAAAAATTCACCTAGAGTTGCATGAGAGGTTCAAAGGAATTTTGGGTCACCTTCCACAGAATTGTCTAGGCAAATATTCAAAAGTTGGAAAAAGACTAAACTCAGAACAAGACCCAAATTATAGTCCCAATTTTGTCACTGATTAGCTCTTGACATAGAGAGGATAATTTTATTGCCTTGAAGCTGATTGTTCATTTATTTATTTATCTTTTAACATCTTTATTGGAGTATAATTGCTTTACAATGGTGTGTTAGTTTCTGCTTTATAACAAAGTGAATCAGTTATACATGTACCTATGTTCCCATATCTCTTCTGATTGTTCATTTTATAAGATGGTGAAGTTGGATTATATAATTTCTTAGGTTTCCTTCCAAGTCTCAAATTCCATTTTTCCATGACAAGTTCCAAAAGCTCCTCTCTTCCTATTTGTAGTGTCACAGATTGTACTTTTCCTTCTGCTTGGAGTTAAATTGTCATCTCATATTTCCCTGAGTTCTGTTAATATTTTGTAAATACGTATGCTCTCATTACAGTATGTTAGTTGTGAATGGAGGGAAATGTGAACAGCATCTAGGATTGTCTGTCACTTTCTTGAAATTTCATTCATTTCAAATGATTACTGTTGAAGTTTATCAAACATATAACTTACTTGATAATTATTTATATATCAAGGCTTTAAAACCATTTATACAAAAGACTGTTCTCTCTCTGAAAATCAAGTAGCGTTGATCTTCCAGGGGTTACGGAAGTTATGTGACAAATGCAGAGCCGTAGGGAAACTTCAACAACCACCAGTGTGCAATTCTGCTCTCAAAAGAGGAAACTTTGGCAAAGGACTACAGGTCATCCTTCCCTTTCTCTACTTAACAACAATGTTCTCAGTTCAGCACTCCCCCAGCCCGCCTTCTGCCCTCCCCATCACCAGAACGATGCATATCCCATAATAAGTAAGGATATAAGAAGAAAAGATGAACCTGGAAAAGCAACTTTTGACCTAATTCAAGAATCTTATCCTTGGATGTCAAATCTGTCGATTTCTTCTTCTAGCATCTTGGCGTCCTGTCAACTAAGTATCTTCCTATTAGCACTCGGCAGGTGCAGCCTGATTCCAGCAGCCCAGCCCTGAGCATCAGGGACGTCTCTTACGTCCATTTATGTCTTTCCCAGCTCCAATAGCATAGTTAAGACCAATATCGAAACCGCTTACATCTAGGATAATAAATGTGGGGAAAATGAACAGTGCCAGCTTCAGTTAACTAAGTTACACATGCCTCACCAAATAAAATGCAGGACGTGAGGGAGCCATGAGTGCCCCGTTCACGGGGACGAGCACAGCTGATGGAGGACCTCCCCTCCTTCAGCTGAGTGAGTATAGAGACTACCTCCATTCCTGTGTTCATCTTTATAAAGCTACCCACCTTGATCCCCCAAGAAAGGTAAAAATAGCAAACTGGAGACCACCTTAGTAAAACAGCCTTAAAGCTCCAGATAAAAAAGTCACTTTAGTCTTCCCTTAAGAGCAGCCACGATTTAAGTGCTATATAAAACGGAAATGATTTAAACGAAATTCGGAAATGGATTGGTTGCAACCTTTATTCACCCATTACCTAGTTGATGAATGACATTCCTATGTATAAAATATATTCTTTGTGTTTTTAAAAATTCTCATCATACAGCTGTGACTGTATTCCTTTACCCTTTCCCAGTCCAAGAATACAGATAAACGTAGAGTACAGGTAAATACAGAGTGATTTGTTATAATAATAACCTTAAACCTTCTTTGTTTCATAAAAATAAAATTTTGAAATTTAGAAGAACAATCAGTAATAACAGCTGCTTGCAGCATCTCTTATACTGTAGTTTTAGGAGCCTAACTGGGTTAGAAAGCAGATAGATAAATATCTTCATCTCCAGAAGGGCTTTTACAGAAAAAGGTATTAAGCTATTAAGCAGAGCTTAATTCTACAGATGGCTGAGGAAGCAGATTCTGGGTGTTTACCAGTGTCCACAAAAAGGAAATAGAGCCACCCATTTATGTCTTAAAACAATGGTTTTGTTTCTTAAGTGTTGACAGCATTACACATTCTTTAAAGTATGTATTCAGCCTTCTGCTGTTGACAGTAGTGTCTCTGTAGCATCATCTAGAGCAAGTTCCTAATAGCAAAGTAATATTAGAAGAAATAAATAAATAAGAGGAAAAAGGGGTGAATTATTTCTTATTGATAGGTATTTTACATTTTTTGAAGCATGGAAAAAATGGAATATTCTGCATTGCCTGGAGTCATAAAGATTCCAAAAGAATAGCAACCTGCAGTGGTGATGGTTACTGGTAAGTACTATGTATGAAATTACACTGTTTATAAAAGATACATTTGATAATATCAATTGTATCATGTTAGCACATACATTAAAATGTTCGATGAGATTCCATTTGTACAGCTCTACCTACTATCATAAATATTATTTATAAGCCCGCATAGGCACATGCTACATTGCTATGATATATCAGTAATAAATAACAATGCAATGATGTTTAAAAATAAACAAACCACTAATTCTTTCTAAATGAAAATGCTACTCGAATTTTAACTAGAATACCGTTACTTACCTCAAAGAAACTTAAAGGACTTTCACAGAGTCTAATTTTCATCACATTTTGAGGGAGTGGTATTTCAGTTTCGCAAGTGGTTGAAGAGGTATCAAGTGCTCTAGAAACTTGTTCACAGTAGGTGTTATTATTTTTAAAAGGATAAAAAAGGCTTTGTAAGGAGCAATAAGACCATGCCTGTGGGAAATGCCTATTTTTAGAAAGTGACTAACTTCTCAGAAATATGTGCTTTCTTAATTCTGTTGAGTCCCAGGAAAAAGGAGGCTTCCAAGAAATATATGTAAGGGAAGAATTGCCTTTGAGTTAAAAAAAATGTTTTTAATCCAATGGTGCTACCCTATAGCTATAGGTATTGTCATCTTTGACGGGTAGTATAAGCACTTATGGTTGTTGAGAAGTAGTAAAGTTTATCTCCTCTTAGGTTTTGCTATACCCAGCCCCAAACCTTCTCATCCTCACTTTTTAATTTCAGTGGAAAATACAGTAGTTATGGAAACCAAAGATCTTTACCAAGAAGTTAAAATTTTCAGAAACGACAGTTAGTGATTTTTTTCCCTTGAAAATGACTGTTTGCTCATTGATACATACCAAAATACGAAAGATGTACGTAAGAGTTTTTTGACTAGGTGATACATGACTAGCTTTACCATATATTCTCAGGGCATTACTTATTTGATAAACACCACAGTCAATGACTAAATATTTGGAAGCGTAGATCACCACCACTCTCCAGTAACCTTAAAGTTTTGGTGGGCCTAGTGATGTTTTAAAAGGGTCTTTTCCAAAGACTTTTAAAACTTTGCAATACGTTAATTTATACACAGCTTTGTGTCCCTATGGAATCAGTAGCCCTTGCACTATGGCAATATAATAGAAGGGTATTAGAGCTGCTTTTGTTTTTGCAGTGAAAGTATATAGGATCTGTTTTGGGAGAAGGGGTCCTCTGAAGTTCTAGTTGTATCACTTAAAATATGCCATGAAAATATTATATGTCTTGCAGTTGGTGTAATAGTGCATGCACCCAACACTATAAATGAGTTGTTTTAAACATACATTTTGAACTGTTAAATTTTGAAGCTGAAATCTAATGCATATATTTTAAAATATATGTATTAAACTATGTATTTCCCTAATTAAAACTATAAGAAATAGTTTCTAAATAAAAATGTATCTCCTTTAAATTGGTTTCAGTGGGTTACCATAATTAATACTATGTGATATAAATATCCGTACTCATAATTGGTAATATTTACACAGTACTTTTAAATGTTCCTTGTGCTTTGCAGACAAGGTCTCTTTCCTAAAACACTTATGTTCAAATTTTACAGTTCTGGCTTTCTTCTCTTGAATGATGTATTTAGACTGTTGTAATTTTCTATTAATATATTATACTTAATTTCAGTATTATTCGAACAGTTGATGGTAAAGTACTACACAAATACAAACATCCAGCTGCAGTGTTTGGTTGTGATTGGAGCCAAAACAACAGGTAAGTATTTTTTCCGGAAATAAGTAATAATTACATTTCAGAGATTTTGAATAGCCATAAAGTTTAAGGTTATTTCCATAGGTAATATTCATGACTCTTTTTAGGTAATATTCCCTTTGCCTAGCCTTGTAATTGCATGTGTAACCGTCTGTTTTTATTCCGTGAGGTTTTTATATGATTTAGAAATACTGATTTCCTACTTTCAAGCTATTTCCTGCTGCTTTAAGGAAAAGCATATGACTAACTAATGAAACATGGAAATCAGTCCAATCTTTGTGTGTCTTCTGAGAACGTGGCCCTTTCTCTGAACCCTTTTTAGGAGTCTGTGCAATGGTATTTTGTTCCCCGTGACTTTCCATTGCCTCCACCTAATGCAAATGCCACGGCCTTGGGTGATTTCCCATGACACAGAACTTAGAATGGTTTTGAAAGGTCAACCTTGCTTAAGAGCCTGGCATTAAAGATCAGCTTAGATTTAAAAATTAATCCAAGTCAAACCTCCACTAAAATTGATCCTTTAAGCCCCTGCACTTCCAAGAATCTTGTGTTTCAAACCTCTCTTTGATGGGATATAAATTATCTTTAAAAATTCAAACTTTCTTTAAATATTGTGAAAACAATGTGAATTATGCTTTTCCATATTAGAGTCGTAAAATATACATACTAAAATATTAAACCCTTATTACACTGTGTTCTGAGTCAAATCACATATTATACAAAATGATGGATCTATGAGTTTCTTCCAGTAAATACAGAAGCATTTATTACACAGTTACAGGTACTTTAAAAAAAATTTTTTTTATGTGGACCATTTTAAAAATCTTTATTGAATTTATTACAATATTGCTTCTGCTTTATGTTTTGGTTTTTTTGGCCCCGAGGCATGTGGGATCTTAGCTCCCCGACTGGGGATCGAACCCATACCCACTGCGTTGGAAGGCAAAGTCTTAACCGTGGACTGCCAGGGAGGTCCCCGGTTAGAGGCTCTAAAATGAGCTCGTGACCAGCTCTTCTGCAGTATTTCCCACCTCAGTGGCCTGAAAATGCAAACAACAAACTGCTAAAGCCCAAATCCTTGACCTCTTCTTTTTTTTTTTTCTGGTACACGGGCCTCTCACTGCTGTGGCCTTTCCCGTTGCGGAGCACAGGCTCCGGACACGCAGGCTCAGCGGCCATGGCTCACGGGCCCAGCCACTCCGCGGCATGTGGGATCTTCCCGGACCGGGGCACAAACCCACGTCCCCTGCATCAGCAGGCGGACTCTCAACCACTGCGCCACCAGGGAAGCCCTCTTCTTTTAGACCTTATTAGCTCTCAATTTTCACTTGCAGCCAGCCATCAATTCCTGTCATATCCTCCATCTAAATATCCTTCTTTACCCAACCATCCCTCCAGCGACTAAACTAATGACATTTGTCTGTTTGGGGACTTCTGCAAAAGTCTTCTAAATCAATTCCAGAATTCACACCTTTCGTCACCACTTCCTCTCTCTGTGTTCTCTAGGTTGCTGTCAGAGTGAGCGTTTAAAACCGCAGATGTGAGCACGGCATTCTCCTGCTTAAATCCTTCAACAGTTTCCCATTGATCTTGGGATAATGTGCAGAATCTTAGCCAGTCCTACAAGGGAGTCCCTGTATAATCCCATTCCTTTGTATTTTAGTATCACATTACAAGCCTTGCTTCCCTTTTTCCTTATATCTAGCCACAGTGGCTTTCGATTTCTTGAACCAGCCAGCTCATTTTCACCCCAAGGCTTTCACTCCTGTTTCCCCTTCCATCTAGGATTCTACTTCCCATCCCACCGCATACAACTCCTCCCAACCTGGGCCGGATATAAGTAACTTCTCCCTATCCTTCAGCTCTCAGCTCAAAAAACCACTTTTGGAGAAAAGTCTTCCCTGACCCCCATATTAGGTAAATTTCCCCTATGGTATAATAAGCCTTGGGTGCACTTAACATCATAAAATTAAGTTTTATTTGTGAATTGGCTGCTTCACCCTGTAGAATGTAAGCTCCATGAGATCAGTAGTGGTTATCTGTTTTTAGCAGTATATTATCAGCAAGACACTGTACTTCTGACCCTCACTATGCCTTGAAAAAACCAGATGTTTAATAAATATTTGTTGAATATAAAAATGAGTAGAATTACCTTGCATATGATCAACAGAACAGTTCCACATTCTTATTTCTCTGTTTTATAGGGTTAATAAGAATTTGACCAGTAAGAATAAAAATTAGAAATTAATGCAGTATGCCTTGTTGGTTAAGAAAATTTTTTTTAAAAAAAAAGTCCTTTATACTTAACTATTGTGTTTACTACCAAGCCTACCTAATAAATTTCATTTTTTATTTTTTTAAAATTTCACTATTATTTTTAAAAATCTTTTCTAAATGTTCTAATTTCTGTATTTATATTCCACTTAGCATCCTAGGAGATAAGTGAAAAACACCTTGAACTTATAAAAGTTTATTCATAAGATATTTCTGAATTTATAATTTGGATATCTGTATGTACCTTCTTTGAATATTTTTTCACTTCTAAGATTTTATCTTTATGTATCTGCATAGACATATATACAGAAATATGCTCGTGTATACGTGTAAATATTTGTATTATGCAAAATATATTTTCCCACATGGAGGAACGGGCTGTTTATCAGTGGGCCTTGGGCACATGTAATCGACACATTTATAGATTGGCATGCAGTTTACCAACTGGTGTATTTATGCATGTAAGGTTAAATAAATACAGGTATTACAACCCATGCGACAAAAATCAACAATTTGAAGTTTGGAGAAGGTTTTGATAACAGCTGGGTCCAAAACGTGTAACTTCCCCTCTTTACCTTTAAAGTCTGGGGACTGTTTATACGGTTGTTAATGTTCCTCGGGGAGACTGTTCTGACTGGTACCTGATGCCACAGGTCTGCCTAGTACTCGAATTCCGTTGGGAACAGTATTCCAGGCATGACGGCTAGGGTACAAATAGTTGCTTTGCTATCTCACTCTCTTAGAGATAGAGCCAAGATCGTTAAAAGATCAGATCCACGTATTATATTCCCAGAGGATTCTGTTGGATCAAACAGTTAAGCATCTCACCAGAGAGAATTGGAAAACCAGGAATGTGACTTACTGTCAGATGAGACGACCCTGGCTCTGCGGGGAGCTTTCCTAGCACACTTCTGGGGGAAGCATTGCTATTTATATCCCTACCACAACAAAATTTACCAACGGTCAGGGCATGTAGTAATTAATAACGTGCCTACCAGCAATTAAGCAAATCTCAGTCACTGACCATTCAAGACCCTTCTTAAGACCCAGTAGTTGCAAAATATAAAGGTCTGAGAAATACTAAAGTTATGAATCTAGACATCTTGAAAAAGAATGTATAGAAATGACTGTGCCATTATCTCTCATAAATAAAAAACACAACTGATTGAAAGGAAACATTGAGAAACTCTGTACTAGAGCAGTTGCTGTAAATGATGTTTTTACTTTTGTAAGTTTTCAGTGTAACTTCATTAAGGAAGCAAAAAATTCTCGTTTTAGAAGTTAGAACTGTGTGCATTTAAAAGCTATCAGTAACAAATATTATCAAACTTTTTATTTTTTTATGTGCCGTGGGTGATATTTCAGAGACATGATAGCCACTGGCTGTGAAGACAAAAATGTTCGTGTCTATTATGTGGCCACCAGTTCGGATCAACCACTGAAAGTGTTTAGTGGGCATACAGAGAAAGTGTTCCATGTTAGGTGGTCTCCTCTGAGGGAGGGAGTTCTTTGCAGTGGCTCGGATGATGGGTATGTATTTTTGGATTCTAATTTTCTAGTCCTAAAATTCATAAGCTTGTAATTTTCTAGAAGTGTACTTATTTATATGATCCAACGTGTATGTGGAACTATTTTAAACATGTACTTAACAAGTAGGCAGTTAACAAGTATCTAGTTGCATCCAACTAAAAGTAAATTAAAATTTTCCATACTTAGCATCTTATTCATGATTTCTATTTCCTTATTTATTGTACTTGCAATAGATGCTTATTTCTCTCTTATTAGGAACAAAGTTAACAGAAATCTGTTGGGAAAGGGAAAAACGTCTGAAACAATAAACCTTTGTAACATGTAGAGACGAGTTGATTTTTAATAATGTTCCCATATTTAATGTGGAAAACAGCTGTACTCTGTTTTCATTAAGAATGGAATAAAAGGAGATGATTATGTATGTTAGCATGAAAAGAAGATATTTTAGAAATGAGAGTGACATAACATTTTTTTCTGGGTTTATGAAAGTTTCTGAAATCTTGTCTATATTTTATATCCAGACAAGATATATTTGCATGGTACAGTTTGGGCTGTTTGAATATGAGATAAATTTAGGTAAGAAAAATCTTACTTGGTGCAAGTAAAAGTTGTGGTATATAGTAACCACATTATCCTGTCCTGGTATAAAGGGGAAAAAGAAGAAAGGAATCTTTTATATATAGCAGAAAGAGATATGCCTTAAGAAATAGAATATGTGGTATGTCTCTTAATAGTGTAATATAACCTTTGGAGTATTAATATTTTGATATTTTTCAGGTTTATATAAATCTTTAACTAAAAGATTATTATGAATTGTCCAAGCAGAGTTGGCATTTGGAGGTCTTAAATTGATTTTGAGTTCAAATTGTCCCTCAGTAATATTTGTACTCTACACAGTCAGTAGATTCAAGTAATATTATGAACCCATTTATATTTAAATTTTGTACTTGATCTGAGAGTGATTCCACAGACTAAGAAACTTATTTAACTGACAAAAACATGAAGTGTTTCCTCTATTGATAAAAGCATAGATACGAATTGATTTTTCAAATAATACCCGTCATCATACATGCTGTATTTTCAAGTTATACAAATAATTTGAGCGCTCTTAAGTTACTGTATACATGTTGTTAGTCATATTTTTCTTTGGCTTTACCTGTTCTGGACATTTTATTTTAAGAAAGCAATTTTTTAAACACATAAACTGCGAAATCATATATTTAGTATCAGGGGTTAATGACCAGTAAAAGTAAGGAAAAAATATTGGAATAGGATGGCTCTAGCCTAGTTAGTTATTCATTTTAAAATAAATAAAATTCATTTTTATTTGCTAAAAAGAAGAGAATCATAACATATATTGAAACATAAAATGTTTTTTCAATATACTGAGAAATAATCACTGTGTTCCATTAAGAACATGCTGATACTCCAGATAAATTATAACTTGTATTATATACATAATATTCTGTTTTCAGTTCTGTTCGAATCTGGGATTATACTAAAGATGCATGCGTAAACGTTCTTAGAGGACACACGGCCCCTGTGCGGGGATTAATGTGGAATACTGAGATCCCATACCTACTAATATCTGGCAGCTGGGACTATACTATAAAAGTGTGGGACACTCGGGAAGGAGCTTGTTTGGATACCGTGTACGATCATGGCGCAGATGTATACGGTAAAGTGTTTTTCATGTACTTTTAAATTTTGCTATATTCATGATTATAATTTCTGAGCAAGACAGTATTTTTGAAGAAGTCTTACAGGGTTTCATTTTGAAATAACATTTATCTTAGTAGAAAGTATACATGCTTACTATTTAAATATCAGAATACACAGACTATAATAGAAAATGTCATCAAAAATAATCAGAAACTAACTCTTGTTAGCACCATGGTGTCTTTCTCTCTATCCCTGTAGAGAAACATACACACACACATGCACGCACGCATGCACGCACGCACACATATACCCTTGCACATATTCTCATGTATGGCTTGGATTTTTCTCCGTTACCTTACCATCACCCCAAAGGTAAGTTGTAAAACAGGAAGTCCTTAATAACTTAGGTATGACGTATTTAGCCATTCCTTTACCTCTATTTTTGGATATTTGGGGCAATGTTTTGTTTCTTAGTATAGTACAAAGTTTTTTACTATAAATGAGTTGGGAATGGAAAATCAGATTCCTTACCTTTTGCACATGATTTTACCCTCATTTGTAGCACCCAAACCTTGATGGGGTTGAGTAGGTAAATTAAGAATGCAAAAATGATTATTGAGAGCAGTTAACCCTAACCTAGTCATTGTATCCATATGCTTTACGCCAATGGCCTTTTAGTTACTGCAGTGTGGGACTGAGTGTGGGAGAGAATCCCATTTCTGGACATTCTAAAATGAAAGGTCCTCAAGCCTTTCTTTATCGTGTAATGAGAACATCCACCCACCCATGATCACTGTGTATTCCATGGGTATGACAGTCAGCTCACTGACATACCAACTGAAATGTAATTCCAACACTTTCATCCAGGACCATCTGCTTTCTAATAATTATTCAACTCTGTATTCATATCTACAGAAGATGCTAAATACTTTTTTTACATCTGTGTATTGTTTTCAGCCAGGACAGAAATGTTATTTAAAACACTTCTCCACAACTTCAGTTCTGTGGAAGGGTTAGGAGGTACACATCAATAAAACATATTTTTCAGTGCTTCCTTTAGTAAACGGCTTTATTTCTTCCATCAGGTTTAACATGCCACCCACGTCGCCCCTTCACTATGGCCTCGTGCTCCCGGGACTCTACGGTGAGACTCTGGTCATTAACGCCGTTAATCACTCCTTTACAAATAAATATTCTGGCAGATAGATCCTGGGAAGAAATTATCGGGAACACTGGTATGGAAACTCTGCATGTATTAGATCTTCTTTCTAAATACGATTTTATAAGCGCTGTTTTCTCACTGAGTTGTGTCTCTTCTCCAGATTGTGCTGTAGAACAAGGCATGCCCCCTCTGCTGTGTGGCAAAGTGTCAAGAGACATCAAACAGGAGATAGAGAAACTAAGTGGCAACCCTCGTGTGAAAAAACTAAGATGGTTTTCAGAATGTTTATCAGTAAGTATTAGAGGAATTAAATGTGAAAATTTCCCCTTTGCCAAAGTGAATCATGACAACTTTTTGTCATTAAGTTATCACATATTTACATGTGTCATCCCAGTGTAAGAAAGCAAATGGTCCATAAGTTGTGAGGGCAATGAGACATTAAAAAAGAGACAGAAGAAGGCAATTTGCTGTTTCCACCCTACTAACACTGATAAAATCGATCATTGACTAATCAGTAGCATTTCTGACAGCCTTTAGGGTACTTCAGCTACCGATCTACCTCCTAACTTGTCAGCTGCGGCTGTGTGGTCTCCATGTCTGCTTTTATAGCAGCATGCTTCCTTACCTTCTATTCTGGCCCTCGCCTTGATATTACTATCTTTTATTATTGGCAATAAATCAACTTTTCCTTCTTAATTATTACTTGCACTTCAGAACCGCGTGTTTTGTATTGAAGACCCTTTTCACCTCAAGAACTATTCGTGATCTTCCACATGGTAATAGACAGCTGAGATTATTTCTGAGCTAACAAAATATGTAATCAAAAAAGTTTGCCACCGACCTTAAATGATTTTAAATTTAGTGTTATTTTATAAATTATAACAGTTTCTACTATATACATTTGAAAATATCCAAAATTTTCATATTATACCACACACGCTTATACACGCACATTTGTATATATAGAGGCTATTTGTTGGGACTGTGGGTGATTCAAGGATCTTTTGCAACGAACAAAGCTTTTCCCCTCTGGTCCTCAGTAGACAATTTGGGTGCATGCATTAATCCAACAAGGATCTCAGAGGGCCTAACAAACAAAAAAAGCAAATGGAAACCAGAAACAATAAATAAGATAGAGTATAGTTATTATCCTGGTAATTTTTCAAGTTAGATATGCCTGCATTATATTTTTAAAGGTGCAAAATGCTGTGGGGTTTTTAATTCATTATTCTATCTTTGGATGTTCTGTATCAACTTTTTAGCCTCCAGGTGGCAGTGACAATTTATGGGACTTAGTTGCTGTGATAAAAGGGCAAGATGATAGCTTACTTCCTCAGAACTACTGTAAAGGAATAATGCATTTGAAACATCTGATTACATTCCGAACAGTAAGTAAAGTATGCAGGTGTGATGTACTCAAACACAAAATTGTTTTGCCTTTTCACTATTAAAATAGGAAAATTATTTTTTGCATATATAATTAGAGTTGGTAGACTGAAGTAAGTGAACACTGAGGACATAAACCTTCAGTAAAAACTGATCACAAGAGTATCAATTATTTGGGGAACAGATTAAGGCAGCCATGGTTTTCTTAGGTTGAATCTCGTGAAATTCTTCAAAGGTCACCTGGAAAGCCCTTGAAATGCTTTACCTTTACACTCTTACCAGATGATTGTATGTATGGGCTACTCTGATTTTTGTCTCAGAGTCCTACTAGGCTGTATTCTGGGATATATTTTATTAAAACTGTTCATATTTTATCCCTTAATGAATTTCAGTACAAAACTACTAGTCACCTTATACATGAAGCGATATGCAGTTCCAACAGTAAACCAGTCCTGAGACCAGAAAGAAGAAAAAGCTTTTATATTTGCAATGAAGTATCAGTGGGTGACTATTTAATTGTTAGACCATGGAGAGCCAGGGATGTGGATTTGATGGTGATAGGAAGCAGCTATTTTCATAAAGAAGTACCCTTTTAAATCACAAACTAAACACCTAATGACTGTAACAGTTACCTATTGATAGTATAGAAACCGATTAGAATAATTTTTAGTTTTTATTTTTATTTATTTATTTATTATATATTTTTTCACCAGTTATATACCACTTTATCACTCACTACCTTTTGGCCTCTGGACTTCTGGTGAGTTTTAAGGAAAATGGGATTTAGCTTCTTCCCACCCACACCAGGCATATCCAAGCCCTACTCTTCACCACACCAAAATATTGTGTTTAAAGAGGTATTATATTTTATAGATAAAAAGGATTGATTTAAAAAATATTTAATTTCCAGTGCTATATGCTTATAAAATATGTGTCTGTATAATGCTTTTATAATGATCTGTTATCACTAACTGTTGCATAACAAAATTTAGATCATTTCATTTTCTTCTTAACCAGTCTGAAGCCCAAGAACTAACCACAGTCAAGATGTCTAAATTTGGTGGTGGTATTGGTGTCCCTACTAAAGAGGAAAGACTGAAGGAAGCTGCTGAAATACACTTGCGATTAGGACAGATCCGGAGATACTGTGAGCTGATGGTGGAACTTGGAGAGGTAAAATATGCTATTAAAGCAAAACCAAGGAGTCTCACACAGTGTTCCAAGTCTCAGTTAGATGCTAAATATCAAGCTTGTCTTCTTCCAGGCCTGGTTGGTTCTCTGCCAATCTGATACCAGGGGTATACCTCAGAGCAGTAGCTATCCAAGTGAGATCCCGGCTAGCAGTATCAGCATGCCTGGGAACTCCTCAGACGTGCATTTCCCACCCAAACCTACCGAATCAGGAACTCGGGGGATGGAGCCCAATGACAGGTGCCTTTCTAAGCCCTCCAGCTTCTCTTCCCAACAAGCTAACCTGTGAAAACCACTGTCCTCGACTCTAGTCTTTGATTCCTAAAAAAATCTATGTTGGCTAATCTGCTCCCAGTGAATTGCCCTTGCTAATACTGTTTGTCAGTCCCACACTGACCCCCTCTGAGGGTCAGCTGGTGAAGGCGCATTCTGATCTTCAGAGAGCACTGAATCAACAAAACAGAGTTTTCCAAAAAGGTTTGGATGAATCCATTCTATTAAAATTCAGGATGGTGGTTTCCTTTGGGAAATGGGTGGTGACTAAAATAGAGCAGAAGAGAGGAGGGGCTTCTGTTCCTTGATCTGGGAGCTCGTTACATTAGTATTCAGTTTGGGAAGATTTATTGAGCCTTTCATTTTTTGGCATGTGTACTTTTAGGTCAACAGAAATTCTACCCATGAAAAATAAAAGATTAGAATGACATGGACTCATTCCATGGTTGATAATTTCTGAAAAGCTCTTGGTTAATTAATTTTATAATTACAAAGCATGATGTTAGGACTCTAAAAGAAAAATGGTATTGACAAACCTAGTGGCAGGGCAAGAATAAAGACATAGAAGATGGACTTGAGGACACGGGGGTGGGATGTGGAAGCTGGGGCGAAGTGAGAGTAGCATTGACGTCTATACACTACCAAATGTAAAATAGTTAGTGGGAAGCAGCCGCAGAGCACAGGGAGATCAGCTCGGTGCTTTGTGACCACCTAGAGGGGTGGGAGGGAGACTCAAGAGGGAGAGGATATGGGGATATATGTATGCAAATGGCTGATTCACTTTGTTGTACAACAGAAACTAATACAGTATTGTGAAGCAATTATACTCCAATAAAGATCTATTAAAAAAACTAACTTAAAAAAAAGAATACTTATAAATAATATGAAGTAAAACTAAGCAGTAACATTACATTAAACTGTATCAAAATTAAATTTAGCTCACCTTTGTATTTCCCCATACATTAGAGAAAAACAATGAATTACTCCTTGATCTAAGATAATAAAGTGTACCATTTAAAAATGTTATTTAAAAGGAATTGCAAACTAAAAAAATGTTTAACTTAGGAGCAGTGTGAAATTCTTCTTATGAAGAAATAAAGGTATGACTTAAAAGTAACTTCTTTAACAGGGCACTTCTAGAAAGAATATCAAAAGTGAAGGAGAAAAAGAATAAATAAATTCGGTAGAACAGTGTAATTCTTTATCTTTCTGAGTTATATATTTGGGTGTATATAATTTTAAATTATATTTAATTCCAATTTAATTCAAGATAATTTAATCAGGCACTTACTTATGGAGCTAATAATTTTGTTGTTGTGCAGTTTCATCAATGGACTTAATGATCCAAAAAACTGTGCTTACAACCCTTTAGAAATATAGGTGTCCTTATAATTGTTCATGATCACCGCCTTACAAATAGCTTCTATTTCTGTAAAATTGATAGTGTGAGATTAGGAAAACATTTATTCTTTTCACTTGCAACACATGTTTTTATTGAAAGAGCTTGGTGATTTTAAAGTTAATTTAATCTACATTTCAATTTCTTTCTTCCATTCATCCCTACTATAATAAAGACGAATTTCCCCCCAAAAACATGATCATAAATAATGTAGTGTTAAAAATTCCCTAACCTATTATTTTCAGGCTAATTACCAATTTTCTAGCTTTACTTGCAGTAGAACTTGCCTGTCTCGGAGAGCCTTAATTAAAATGAAGTTTTGATTTTTGTAGTGATATTTCAGAATATTTTCTCCTCAGTTCCCTTCTAGACTTGAATTCAGTGAAATCTGTGTCTTCAAACAACAGTCACAATCAGCCTTAATTGAACAGCGAGCTTCTTTTAGTAGTAGTCTCATTTTTAAAATATGAAGACAGGAATATCAATTATAAAGGGAGAGATGACAATGAATAAAATTTATGACAATGAGTAGGGAAAAAATAAAAATAGAAGTAAATGCCGTGTTTGTTAAATATAAGTAACAGTGAAATAAAAATTTCAGTGTATATATGACTTTGAAAATAGAACATAGAATACCATAGACCAGATTACTCTGGTGTTGTGTGGGAAGGTGAGTTAGTATATTTTTCAAACTACATACTTTATGTACTACCCCTTCCCCCAACCTCCTTTCTTTTTCTCTCTCTGCTCCCCCCTTCCCTCCACCTCTCTTTCTTTCTCTGTAGGCTTGGGATTTTCCCTGCTATATCAGGGAATTTATATATCTTATTTTATTTTAAACTATGGTAATACTTATACCCTAGGGAATGCATGAGATAGTATACAAAAAATATGCCTGGAAACCCAAACACTCTAATAAAAGCTTGCGTTATAAATATGAGTTCATTTTTAAAAAAGTCTGTTAAGAGTTAGCCCGTACAATCAAAATGGGTATGTTTCTGCTCTTCTCTTCTCCTGTTCTAGTGGGACAAAGCCTTGTCAGTTGCGCCAGGGGTGTCTGTGAAATACTGGAAGAAGTTGATGCAGAGGTGAGGCAGAGAGTCTGTGTCCAAACAGATGTTTTACATTTTGTTAAAATAGAAGCAATATATAAGTATGCTAGTAGCCTTTGAGATTTTTTACTTTTATGTTGTTTTAAATGATAACTGAATTTTATATCTCCTGATACAGTAAATTAAATGAATCGGTTATAAGTCATTTGGCGTTCTTATATTTGAGCTGACATCTGATAAGAACAGTGGTAGAAGGCAAATTCCCCCATGTTGATGGAGGAAATGACAGATCAGTCAACATACTCACTGGTTAATGTATTGCTATTGAAGTATAAGTGGTAAGATTTCTTGAAGGTTAGCAAAGTTCGTGAAATAGTCATTCTATAAATAATCTCAGAAATTCTCTCTGTGGACACTAATTCCTGCCATGTCCTCTGCATGTATACAAGGTAGTTCTGATGATGAAGAAGGGTTTTACCACTGAACAAGGTTAACCGGATGTCCTTGTTCTAGAATGTAATAAACAAACAAGATTTCTTCTGAGGTGTATTGGTCTCCTAGGGCTGCCATAAGAAAGGACCACAAACCGAGTGCTTAGAACAACAGAAATGTGTTCTCTCCCGGCTATCAAGTTGTCAGCAGTGTTGCTTCCTGCTGGAGGTTCTGAGAAGGAATCAGGTCCGTGCTCTCCCCCTGGCTTCTGGTGGTTACCGACAGCCCTTGGCACTGCAGGCTCTGCTAAGTCTTCACGTGGCATTATCCTCCGTGCGTTTCTGGGTCCAAATTCCCCCTTTTTAATAAGGATACCAGTCATATCAGATTTAGAGTTTACCCTAATCCAGTACAACCCCGTCTTAACTAATTATATCAGCAAATTAAGTCACACTCACAGGTACTGTGGATTAGGGCTTCCACCACGTATCTTCTGAGGGGGAAACACAGACTGCTCTCTGTTCTGTTCTGTTCATTCGTTCCACAGACATTTAGCACTCACTACGTGCCAGTTACTGTAGAGGACTATTTAATGAGTAATTACCTTGCTTCTGGCATTAAAAATGAAGTTTGGTTTTCGTTTCACGGGACAGCGTTTAGAAAAAAATTCAACTGTAACTCACGTGTACCCCTAAAATCAATCAGAGACTAAGCATGAAATACAGAAGGATTAACGCATTAGCCGTGGGAAAGTGGACCATTCCCCAGCACCTACTCTCCCCAAATCAGTTAAGCATTAGCTAGCTCCAGCCCTCAGACTGCAGGCTCCTTAGAATAAGCTCTGAGAATCCAAAGTAATTCTAAGTTCATGTGTCTTCTGTTGTGTGTACAATTACTACACGATGGTAAATGTCACTGCTCCCACTGAAACCTTAATAAAGTCAGGTTAGCAGAGGGTATTTATTTCACAAAACAATTTTGTTTCAACCTAAGAAACAAGAGTCTTTTTCATTTATCTTTGAAAACCAACACCTGATTTTCTCTGCTCCTTAGTTCACATGGTGGCCAGAAAATCATCTCCCTGCAGCTCCTAAGTTCATGTTTTATGCATCCAGCCATTTAGAAAGATTGATCGGCAGTCTCTCAGCCCTATTTCTAAATGCCCAGGAAGAGAATATTGTTTCTAAACAGCTATAACAGGGAAATCAGGGTCAGATGGTAAAAGCCTGGTTGTTAGGGAAGACTCCAGTGACCCCATGAACTGGAGACTGTTAACAGTGATCTAGGCAAACAATAATAAAATTGTTGTTTTATTATTAAATAAAAAAGTGTCTACTGCACCCACCCAAAGGTTGGCAATTGAAATGGAGTTTAATGCAGGTGCCAGCATAAATTAAATATACCAGATTAGTTCTCAGTAAAACTGAGATTGAACGTTAAGAGTGGCATTAACGAGGTTGGTCACTGAGAAAGTAATGGGGACATAAAACAGGCAAAGAGAAACAGAGACAGACAGACAAACAGTGATGGATGTAGAGAGACAGAGACAGACACATGTATATCCTTCATAATCTTCAAGATCAGGCCCCCGCTCCCCCCTCACATATTGGGAACATTATTTTTCTTTAAGCTACCTTGCCTGGGGCAAAGCTCCTTAACCCTTTCCAGCATATGAGTACAGCAAAAACATAGCCAGTTATGACAGCGAGTAGGGAAAAAATAAAAACAAATAAATTTCATGTCTGTTAAATATAAGTAGCAGTGAAATAAAATTTTCTTGAATTATCCTTTTTAATGATTCTTAGGCTACTTGCATTTAGAGGCTCGCCAATCGTGCTCACTAAAACACTTAAAATTCTCTGTCTTTAGTGAAGTAGACACCCACATATGCATTCATCCAATTGAGGGTAGATGTCCCATCACACATATCTAGGTAACAACTTATCAGAAAAATATATTCCTTATTTTAATAGCTAAGCTACATTAATTTTAAGACCTGAAATGTTCATTGCCTTTAAAATATGAAAATTTGTAGTTTCCTAAGGGAAAACAAGTACTAACAGTGTTTACTATTTCAGGAAACTTTTGTCCTCCTTATGTGATATGATTATAAATCTAAGTCTTTGTGGATTCTGATGCAAATTTTAGAGACTTCAGAGAATCTCAGTCAAACTGAGAACCTTGAAATTACTATGCTATATAAAAAAAAGCTTTGTTGTTATTTTATTAGGAGAGCTGATCAGCTGATCCAGGAAGATAAGGATGATGTCATTCCATACTGCATAGCCACTGGCGATGTGAAAAAATTAGTCCATTTTTTTATGTCAAGAGGTCAGCTGAAAGAAGCTCTTCTTGTTGCCCAGGTACAAACACGTAACGACACGGGCTGGACACACTGGGAGGGGCGTGTGGGAGGGGGAAGGTCATGTTCACGTGATGGACAGAGTTGTAGATGGCTTGGCTTCTGCCCACCTCCTGACCTCCTTTCTTGGACATTTCAGTCACCCTCTCTTTGCTCTGGCCACACTGAACCTATTTTAGATCTTTAAACATGCAGGCATCTCTGAACTCTGGCCTTTTCTACGCTGCTGAACGTTGCATACACTTGAACAACTCTAGTAATCATTCACTTGAAGCTTCCTGTTGATACAACAGAGTTCATGGGTTGGTTTTTTGTTTTTTTTTTAATTCTAAGCCTATCTCCAAATCGTAGTATAAATTTCAAACATCATTTAAATATACTTTGTTCAAAAGAATATTCTGAAATCGGTCCGTTATCAGCAGTTAGCTACAGATTAACTAAAGATTGCATTAAATTCCAGGCTGCTTGTGAGGGAAATATGCAAACCTTCCATGTTTCAACACCTAAAGGATCTTCTTATTCTGATGATATCTACAAGGAAGACTTTAACGAGTGAGCGATTCATTCTTTGTTGGGGATCAATACTTTTTTGTGGCTGGTTTCCCTTTAAGGCAGTTCATCCTTCTTGGCACGCAGAGGACTTGTCTGTCTCGTGTCCTCAACTGCATTTCTCACCACAGTCATGTTCCGTCACAGCATCCGTCCCTAGACGAGGAGGGAAATGTCAGGCACATAGACACAGCCACCACACGTCTTATGTAGCTTCCAGAAAAGCAAACTGCATTTCAGTACAGAAATTGCATATAAAGCACCTAAATCCTTAAAATCTGATCAAACCTGCTGGGGAGGAGAGGCAGTAAAAGTAAGATGTGCTGTTTATTAATGTTTCACCCTAGACTCAGTGTGGATAACATCTCCCTGACATCACTCAAAATCCATGACACCCTGGTATTAGCATCTGGAACAACATCTAGGTCTCTTGACATATGCACACTACTATATATAAAATAGGTAACTAATAAAGACCTGCTGTATAGCACAGGGAACTCTACTCAATACTCTGTAATAACCTCTATGGGAAAAGAGTCTAAAAAAGAGTGAATATATGTATATGTGTAATTGATTCACTTTGCTGTACAGCAGAAAGTAACACAACATTGTAAACCAACTGTACTCCAATACAAATGTTTTTAAAAATTAAAAAAAAATGAAATCCAAATACTAACGTTTTTAAAAGAAATAGAAATTAGGATTCTCCAGCCTTTTGACCTTTTTCAAGTCTAGTAATCTACCTTCCTCTGTGTCTTCTCTTAGCTCCTATCATGGCCCTAGGAAATAGGATATTTAAACTTTTAGGACACTTGACAAGTAAAAATGATCACAAAATGTTAGGCAAATAATGTGTTGGGACTAACGCATTTCTTCCTGGTTTTTTGCTGTTATTCTCTGCCATTTCTAAACTTGGCATTTTAAAGATCTAACATTACACCACCCCTGTTCCAGTAATCACCTAAATCTTGAAAAGTTTCTGTTCAACCTGTAATTCTTCTAAGGTTAACTGCCCCTATAGCTGAGGCATAAATTATTCGATGTAGGATGGGAAGTTCTGAAAATTTGGGTTTTCTTCTGAAAAGAAGAAAAATTGCAGGGGAGAGCAGGTAGCCTTATCAGCTCATCTGCTACGAAAGACTGCTTTCCTGATTTTCCCCCCAAATCAGGCTTTCTACCTATACCAAGGATATAAAATTAAATCTTGTTGGATCCCTTAAGCAGCTTGTTATAAAAAGGCATCAGTTCACTTTTATGATGGAGTCCTTGTGTTTATATCCAGTACGTACACTTTTTCTTCCTAGACTCCTGCAGGAAGCCTGCAGAGAGCTGGCGGAATGGTATTTTCAGGATGGCCGGGCAGTCCTAGCCGCGTGTTGCCACCTCGCTGTGGATAATATCGAGGTACATTTCAAAGTGGCTCATGTGAATGAAAAGCTCTTAAGATACGTCATGATGTTTGAGGGGGAATAATACGGTGACTTTCTATGTAAGATCTGGTTTTTGCATGCTTTCCAAGCCTGAGCGATGACATGCCCAATAAACACAGATAAACTGTACAGACTATGAGATCTTTTTATTTACCTATTTATTTATTTTCATTACAAGAGACATATTTGTCAAAACCTTACTTTAAGTATTTCATCATATATGAGAAGCAGGAGTGTGATAAAGGGAAGAGTCACTGGACTTGGACTCAGAATACCTGACTTTTGAAAGCAGTTATTTTTATAAATACTTTAGTATATTCTTCGCAAGTTATGTTTTTGAGGTATTTTTCATTTGAGCCTCTAATGTAATAGGAAACAATTAAGTAAAGATGTGGGTTCTATTTTGCATGTATCCTTAGCTATGTTGGCCTTAAGGGATAATTGATAGTCATTGTACAGTATCGAGGAAGATTTTACGAATTTACTTTTTTTTCTGATAGAGGGACTGAAGGACATGTTGAGGATACTGCAGAGAGACTGTTATTAATTACAAAAATGTGAGCAAAGGCTCGAAACTCTTAAATTCTGACCTTATAAAATGTGCTCTGTGTCCCTTTATCAGCTTTTCCATCTGAAAACTGTAGTTGCCCTGACATAAGTACTGTAGACAAATGTTACACTCGGTATTTTATAAGAATAATCGATTATAGGTTAATACAACTTTATCTGCTTCACGAGATGAAGTAGGGGAATGATGAGGCTGCCCAGCATCTATGAAACTGAAGGAATTCTTTTCTCATTGAGCAAGCTGGCTATGGCGTACCTGATTCGCGGAAACGAGCTGGAGTTGGCAGTCTCTGTGGGCACAGTGCTTGGAGAGCTGGCAGGACCCGCAACCCACTATGCCCTCGAGCTGCTGGCGAGAAAGTGCATGATGATTCCAACGTGGTGAGCATTTCTAAAGTCAAAGAATAGTTTCCTAGTGATGGAAGCATTTTTTGAATGTGGTAAGTTGCTCTTGATAAGATGTGTGTTGGGAGAATATAGGAGCTCCCTTTTAGATAAAGATAAGATGTGAGCACGAATTAAGAGTGAGAACTACCGTGGCTATGTAGCGAAATCTGCCATCACTTATTCTAAAGTAGCCCAGTTGTAACGTGTAATATTTCAAACACATAAAGCACCATGAGACAGTAAATGTGCACTTCTTAAGATTATCAGGACCACGCATTCCCACTTCCCATTGCGGAGCACAGGCTCCGGACGCGCAGGCTCAGAGGCCATGGCTCACGGGCCCAGCCGCTCCGCGGCATGTGGGATCTTCCCGGACCGGGGCATGAACCCGCGTCCCCTGCATCGGCAGGCAGACTCTCAACCACTGTACCACCAGGGAAGCCCAACATTCCCACTTTTTAAATTCTGCATGTCTACACTCAATCTTGTCAGATCTTGGGTCTTAGTTTGAGGTTTAGAAAATAAAGTCACTTTTCTAATGGAGAGTAATAATAAAGATGGTATAGCCGGACACTTGGAACAAACTTGGGCTGTGCTGTAAGAGGCAGACCCGGGAGAGTCCCTGGGGGACCTGGAGCTCCAGCTCACAGCAATTCTCCCTCACTTCTCAGGGCAGACAGTCCTTCATCGTGGAGGAAGGAGATGGTGCTGTCACTCACGTGTTTGTCGAATAAAGATGATTTTAGACCTCTGTCTTCTCACGTAGAACCTTGGGAAATTTCTACATAAGCTTGTTTATGAGGACTTTCACGTGTCCCCACTCTACACTCCCTGCACACAGGCCCCCACTCTTACGATGGAGCTATACAGATGCCACTGTTGAACACTACAGATGAGAATCATCGTCATCGCTAGCTAACACTTCCTTACCGCTCACTGTGCGCCATGCACCGTCGTAAGCACTTACGTGCAACATGCGACAGTTCACTCAGAACTATGCGGTCGATGTTGATTTGCCTCTGGTCTCAGTAATTGGTCGTGCCAGGACTCAAAGCTACATAAACTGGCTCCGGTGTTTGCACTCCTAGCTACTGTCTTAGTCAGCTGGGGCTGCTGTAACAAAATGCTACAGCCTGGGTGACTGATACACAGGAGAAATGTATTCTTCATGGTTCTGGAGAGTGAGAAGTTCAAGATAAACTGGCACATTCGGTGTCTGATGAGAGCTGGCTTCCTGTTTCGTAACTGGCTGCGTTTTTGCTGTGCTCACGTGGTGGAAGGGGTGAGGGAGCTCCCTGTGACCCCTTTTATCGGGGTACTAAATCCCATTCATCGCGGCTCTTCCCTCATGTCCCTATAACCTCCCAAAGACCTCACCTCCTGATACCATCCCGCTGGGGGTTAGATGTCAACATAGGGCTTTTGGGGGACACAAACATTCAGTCTATGGCAGCTGTCACACTACACCGCCCCCTCATCCAGGGCTGAGTCAGAAAAAGAGCAGTGCTTCCCGGACTCCTTTCCTGTTGGATCTGGGGGCTTCAGAGAGATTCGGGAATCTCAGAGTTATTCTAATTTTTACCCATATCTTACAGTGATGTAAGAGCTCCCTCCCCCATCAGAATGGAGTGGTGCCCCACCATCAGTCTCAGACTTAAGTGTACCTAACGCAGGCCATCCCTCGAGAGGACCCAGTTCCGTCTCTCAAGAACTATGGTCGTTGGCTCAGACCCAACCGAAAGCACGAGGTCTAACTCACACTACTTAACCCACAAAGGAGACTGACTGACGCTGTGCTAAAAGTCATCATCTAATTCAAATACAATGTGATTACTGAAGTAAAGGTAAAAAAGTAGCGAAACATGGATATTAAATTTTAAAGAGGTTTCAAAATCTTCCACCTGACTCTATGTCTTATTGCTTTTAATATAAAACAAACTTCTCCTTCCTTTTAACTCCCCCCAAGAGTCCTTTCTTAATATAGCCATAGGTTTGTGCACCAGAAACCAGGATAAAGTTCAAACGCTGAAATACATGCATCTGGCTTTTTTTTTCCGAGTGAAATCTAACCCTAATGTAATTTTATAAACCGAGAGCACTTCGTGTTTTTTTTTACAGTCACTGGTAAAAGTTTGCTTTTTCTTGGTTGTCATTGCCTATTCACGGTATTCAAATTTATTTTCCTTCTAGCTTTCCATCCACTGGATACAGGTATTATCGCGTTTTATTTAAATCTTCAATTAAAAATTCACATATTTTGTTTTTAGAATACCAACTCTTTACTAAGAAATGATCACTAACTGTTTTTGGTTTATTGCTTTGCAGAATGCCAGTTCATTTATATAGTTTATATAAAACCTAACTACAAAGTAATGAGAACAGTTCCTATAACCTAGGTACAAAATCACTCATGATTTTATACTTTAAACCTGTGTAAAAAACGAACTGTGGCTTTCTACAATAAAACAATAATTAACTCAACTAAGCAAATTACAATGCCTGTTCTATAGTGAAATTTAAGAGTTTGGATCATTTCGCTGGTCTATTTCAGTATATAGAAGTATAGACACACATTTTCCCCTACTGGCATACTGAATTTTCAATAAATAGTGAACTAGCCTAAAAAAGTAAATAAAATTAGCTAGAATTGCTGTAAATTTCTCTGTGTCAGGATATGATTCTAGGATAAGAAAGTCAGACTTTTGTCTGTAGTTCATAGAAGTTAAAGTAGAATTTTAGCATAGCTTTTTAAAACACTATAAAAGCAAATGATAATTTCTATATTCTCATGGACATTATTAAAAACTGCTATTAAATGTTAGTATCAGAAAACATAAAGTCATACCTTTTATCAAGAACAGATGAATTACTCTAATTTGGAACCTGTAAGAACACTCAAAGATTTACTTGCCCAATGATGATAGAGAATTTGACACGTACAAATTATCCCTATTCCTGTTCTTTACTCAGTGTATTCTGATGAAACATCTCCCTAATATTTTCTAAAATAATTTATTCACTTGAATGACCAATTTAGATTTTACTGAAGGCTGCACAAAGAAGGTGGAGGGGGCTTTACTCAGAGTCCACAGCACAGCCGTTGTAACTTCACATTTGGAATACTGTCTATTCTAAAGTCATGCGGAATGTCTATCCTTTTCTTGAAAATTGAATAATAATATCTTAAGCCATTGAAAATTAGTGATTTCTCTCCTACGAGGCGTGAAACCAAAACCTCCTCACCTCCTGATTTTTAAAAATGATTTTATACAAAATAGTTTAATGTAAAGCTGTGAAAGTCCACACATTTTTTAAATGTCTGATTTCAAAATGATCTATTCCATTGATTAAATCTTTAGAAAGCAAATCGGGAAACCGCATTTCTGTCTTTGATTTCCACCTAAAGTTTAAGAAATATGCAGAATACCCATACATCTAAACTTAAAATATCTAAATATCCATTAGTTTTAATGCGCTGGAAAATACAGTTGTCCATTGTTGGCAAGTGTAGCAAAAGTTGGTGAGAATTAGCTTTCACAGAGTCTGCCTTATAATTCACTCCAAAGAACACGTCTCATACTACTTAGTTTGGTTAGAGAATTATTCTATAATAACAAAATTAATTGTAAATATATAAGGGCTCAGTATTTAGGAATTTCATAATACGTTTTTTCTTCACGCCCTCTGGTTTCTGTAATCTACATTTAGAGGAGTTTCATAACTAAGTAGGAAATTAGTACTGTTTATGTAAATAGAAAAGCAAGGGAGGTGTAATGAGTCTTCTTCCTTTGAAATAGTTCTAAAATGTTATTTTTAGGCTTTTTCTTCCTCATGGAAGTTTCCCCTTTTGTTATGTGAATAGGAATTTGGCTGTTGATCTTCTCCTGATGACTCCTGACAGCGAACTACAGTTAGTAAAACTCTGTGCTTTCTACCCGGGGTGTATCGAAGAGATAAATGATCTTCATGAGAAGGTATGCTGACGATATTAAGTATTCTACTTTGGAATGCAGTGCTGTGATTTCATTAGCTTTAGGTTTGGTCAAATAGTGATGCACACAGAGAAATGAATATACGGTCCCGTCAGAATCCCCTCATAAATACAACAAAAATTATAACAATAAGGAAGAACGTTTATTGAGTTTCTACTATACGTTTGGAACTGTTCTAAATTTTCACATCTGTTATCTATCTGTTACTTAATTCTCATGAAACTCTGAAAAGCAGGGGATACTGTTCCTAATTTATAAAGAAAGTGAACTCAGAGAAGGTAAGGAACTTTTTTTTTTTTTTTTTGCGGTACGTGGGCCTCTCACTGTTGTGGCCTCTCCCGTTGCGGAGCACAGCCTCCGGACGCGCAGGCTCAGCGGCCATGGCTCACGGGCCCAGCCGCTCCGCGGCATATGGGATCCTCCTGGACCGGGGCATGAACCTGTGTCCCCTGCATCGGTAGGCGGACTCTCAACCACTGCGCCACCAGGGAAGCCCGGAACTTTTAACTAGTTAACGGTGGGGTGAGAACTTCAACGTTTGTAACTTCACATCCCAAGCCCTTTCCACTTTGCATCTTAAGGTACATGTATGCTAACTTTAAAAATAGGCAGTTTAAGATCTTTAAAAGAATCAGTGAAGTATAATAAAATTGGCATGCTTATTCTAAAGTGCTTTTTAAAAATGCTCCATTACGAATACAGGAATTTATATACCAAGATTACATACAAAAGCAATCAAAATGTTCAACAATAGGGAGATTGTATTAATTACAGTATATTTTGGCTGTGCCGCGTGGCTTGCGGGATCTCAGCTCACCAACCAGGGGCTGAACCCGGGCCATGGTAGTGAAAGCCCAGAATCCTAACCACTAGGCCACCAGGGAACTCCCCTAAAAAGTATATTTAAATATTAAGTCATATAGCTTTTGGAATTTTAAGATAGGGTAAGAATTACAGGAATGATCAACCTACTCTTCTTATCATGTTATGTGTCAGAATGAAATTTCAGTGGGAACCATTTGCTAATTCCCTCTACTCTCAGAGCATATAGCAAAGTGAAGAAACTTTTTTCTTTCTAACCAGGCACAGTTCCTAGCACATAGTAGTTGCTCAGTAAATAACTGGCATTCAGTGAATAAAGATGGGGAAACCATATGAAATGTCACATACATGAGAGCTCTTTTAGTTTAGTTTGTTGTAATTTTTTTGAGAGAGTTTGAGGGATCTAAAATATTCAGTTTACTTGAATTTTAAACAACGGAAAATACGAAGCTGTGGAATAAACAAATTGAATAAACCATTTTAGTAACTTACGGGGGTGTAAAAAATAGTGAGAAGGAAATAGGGTGACAAATTTCCAAGGAGAGGAGACAGATGACCTAACTGTGGATGGACCACATCATCTGCGGTCACAGCACAAAATATTTTTTGCGGCGGAAGCTCCGTCTCAGTGGTTGCCAAAGACTAGTAAGACAGCAGTAAACTATGCCTGTGTTGCTTAGAAACAAACCAACAAACTGTAACACCTAAACTGCACATATCATGAACAAGTCAGAATTTTATCTAAAATTAATTTATAACTTAAGTTAAAATATTGATTTGAGTTGTTAAGTTACTAATTTATAACTTAATTCCTGTCTACGTTATGGAAGCAGAAAAACTTACATGAAGGTGGAGTAGACTCTCAGTTTTAACAGAAGAAAACATTATTTGAAAAGATTGGGAGTGTTGCTTTTCATTTTACAGTAATGAATTCATAGACTCAGATCTCCACTTTGTGGCATTTCGGAATGTCAAAGCTAAAAACGTTGAGAGCTTGTCCTACTCGAAATAAAGTTGCTTTGTCTCAAGGCCAAGTGAAAGTAAATCACTGTGTAGAGAACACGTAAGCATGCACCTTTTATGTTTTCTACATTTAATGTAGTTTTTGAGACTGGTCAGTATATTTGTTCTAAAGTAACTAATTTCAGCATTTCCTGCTCAATTACATTTGCAGGTACTAATTCTAGTATCACAATCAGGACAATTTACTTCCACCTCTTTGGGGTTGTTTTTTTTTTGTTTTTTTAGCTTTTTTTTTTTTTTTTTTGCGGTACTCGGGCCTCTCACTGTTGTGGCCTCTCCCGTTGCGGAGCACAGGCTCCGGATGCGCAGGCTCAGCGGCCATGGCTCACGGGCCCAGCCGTTCCGCGGCATGTGGGATCTTCCCAGACCGGGGCACGAACCCGCGTCCCCTGCATCGGCAGGCGGACTCTCAACCACTGCGCCACCAGGGAAGCCCTACTTTCACCTCTTTTATTAGGTATTTGTGTGATTAAAACTACTGACTCATTAGGTAATACCCTATTTATTGTTATTAGATCTTAAAGATATTCCCATAAGTGTATGCTTTTAGTACAAATTATTTCATTTACATCTGTTCTCAGCAGCTTTAATAAGGAGGCATATTGGAAACATTTAGCACTTAATACTATTGCTTTTATCCCTATAAATCTTAGTAACAGTGTCATCAAACCAATTATTTTCTAGTGCAAGCTACCCACAGTAGAAGAATGTATGCAATTAGCTGAGACAGCCCATGCCGATGGCAATATATTTGAAACTATAAAGTATTACTTGTTAAGTCAAGAACCTGAGAAAGCCCTTCCTATTGGTATTGACTTCATCAAAGGTACGTGTTCAGTTGGTAGTATAATTTAAAATCTACTCTTTTATTTGGCATTTTCATTCATATTGATAAAAAGGCTTAAAACCAAGCACTAGCTGTCCTGAATTTAAAGAGGAAAGAGATTGCTGCGTGTTTGGTATCGGGACCTGATTGTGATCTAGAAAATAAAGAAGTAGATAGCGTTGACCAGAAAAGAATCCATTACATAAGTTAAAAATTGGATGAACAAGTTTTAATCCTATTATTTAGAGAATCTTTATTTGGTTTTATTTTGCCAGGATCCATCAGTAGTTCCAATTGGACTTTGGATACCATTTACCCCGTTCTTGACCTACTGAGTTATGTTCGTACTGAAAAATTACTCCTGCATACATGTACTGAGTGAGTACTTTTTCTCCAAAATGCGTAACTGAGCTTACGTAATGTTTCGGAATGGCTGTATTGTTTTTTTGTTTTTTTTTAATTTATTTATTTTTGGCTGCGTTGGGTCTTTCTTGCTGCGCGCGGGCTTTCTCTAGTTGGCGGCGAGTGCAGGCTACTCTTCGTTGCGGTGCATGGGCTTCTCATTGCAGTGGCTTCTCTTGTAGCGGAGCACGGGCTGTAGGTGCGGGGGCTTCAGTAGTTGTGGCTCACGGGTTCAGAAGTTGTGGCACACAGGCTTAGTTCCTCCGCGGCATGAGGGATCTTCCTGGACCAGGGATCGAACCCATGTCCCCTGCATTGGCAGGTGAATTCTTAACCACTGTGCCACCAGGGAAGGTCCCGGCTGTATTGTTTTTGGTGTTCAGATCAGGAAATAAGATCATCTTGGACAGATAGGTGCATGTGTAGAAAAATTACATTTTAATTTGTGTTATCCTTAAGTAAAAATACAGAGGTAGTTTGGAACAAATAGTGAATCTTAGTGGTCCCGTTTCCTAATACCTAGTGTCTTATGTGTATGTACACACAGACACACCCATACACACCTGGTTCAAATAGGGCCAATTCGGAGCTTTGGGATGGTTCCGGACCTCATGTCCTCGGTGGTCTGTCTAGTGGTCATATCTCTTAAATCTCCATGTGTGCAAAGCATACTAGGTTGGGGAAAGGAGTGAAAGTGCTAGAAATTAAAAAATAGACACTATCCTTGTATTCAAGTATCATTTAAGGACATTGTTATCCATGTAACTAAAATCCCGAGACCACATATATTTATACTAGAGGCTTTGGGCTATTTTTGTTGCAATGCCGTGTGGAAAAGATGCTGCAGAGCCTGTGAAACTTTGGCAAACTTCCCCAGCTGGGTGTGCAGGAGGTGTTCTCTGCCGTCCCCTGCAGTCTGTACAGTATGCCAGGAATCCGTCAGTCCGACCCAGTGCATCACTCGGGGAGAAATTACATGAAGGAACAGACAAGGAAGAGAGAAAAACAAGAAGGCAGAGTTAAATATTACTTAAAGACTTTTATTTCAAAATACAATTTATGTTATTGTGTACATGTCTGAATAGGAGTTAACTGATGAATAAAACAGCTTCAAGTTTAGAAAATTTTCTAAGCATATTTTGCTATAAATGTCACCCATCAAAATATAGAGCCACAAGTGGAATAACTGTATATGAGAGCAATGTTCTTACCTCAAGTTACGGAATCTTTCAAAATAAATATATTCTCTTTTAGAGCTCGAAATGAACTGCTGATACTATGTGGGTATGTTGGTGCTTTGCTGGCTATCAGAAGACAGTACCAAAGCATCGTCCCGGCACTTTATGAGTACACGAGGTAAGAGCAGGTTCTCTTCTACTGTGAAATTAGAGAAGTACCTTTCACTGAGATGGTTAGTGTCTAAGTGCATCATAGAAGCAACAAATACATTTTGCACTCATCCATGTATTTACTAAGCATGTGCTTCATAATAGAGCAGCAGTAAACGATATGAATTAGCAGTGAACTGGGGTGTAAATAATAGAAATCCTAATTCTAGCTTAAACACTAAGGGTTCCTGGTCTTACGTCAAGACACTCGAGGTAGGCATTCTCGGGCAGATTCCATCAAGGATCTGGATTCTTCGCTACTTTCAACTCCGACATTCTTGGCTTCCTTCCTCTTGCCTGAGTGACCCGAGGTTACCAGGTAGTTCCCAGCCCTCTGGGTATTAGGTCTACATTCGAAGCAGAAGGAGTGGTAAGGGTGAAAGGATGGAGACCACAGAGGGCAGGACCCTTGGATTCAGGAAGGAAAGTCTTCCTTAGGGCTGTTCATCTACAACCCACTGGCCAGGACTGTGTAACCCTACTTTCAAAAGAAGATGAAAAACTGCGTCTTTTAGCTTTCCCATCTCTACAGTACAAAAGTGCGAAGCATATTGTATTCAGGTATAACCTACCTGCCAAACTCCTGTGTTTTCTCACAGCTTGCTGACCATCGGCCATTGTGCTTAAAGCTTGTCGTACTCGAAAATAAAATCCAGTGCCCCTGGGGGGAGGTCTGGTATAGCTGTGGGCCTGACCAGGGGGCACAGAGATTCCTGCTGTCAGGGCGCTCAAGGAGAGATCTACGCAGGCAGCATGACCACAATTCGAAAGTAACTTTTAACAATATTTAGAAAATATATTGTAAGAACACTAGGATGTATCACACGGAATTAATATTATTTAATGAGCTATGTTCAGCTCTATATGACTTTGGTAATGAAAAAGAGAAAATGGTCCCTTGAAAACATATCACCAATGCAAGGAAGGCATTTTATTCCTAAGGCAGGAGAGACTTGCGACAGCGTGGCTGGGTTAGAAACGTGTTATCCCAGAGAGAGGAACGCGAGCTCCGGGACCTGCCTGTTCTCTGTCCCTCAGAACCCACCCTCTCACCTCTGTGCGGACGACTCACCCTTCTGTAGGCAGGTATGGCGCCTGGCTGGACGCCCCGCAGCTCGCTAACCTCAGTGCGCTCAGAATTAAAGCCATCTTCCTTCTCACATCTATTCCTCCTGGGTTCGCTCTTTCTTCTGATGATGTCATTATACTTCTGTCGTCCAGAATTAAATGCTCAGGTTCAGGGTTAGGTGTTCTTCCTCGCTGTCAACATCCAATTATGCAGTAAGTTCCCACACCCGCACGTTTCTCATTCTCTGGGACCCACACTTACCGTCTTCACTAACTGTCCCCTGTGGTAGCCCTTCCTCTAGTCACCCTACCCCCGCTCCTCCTGTCACCCCTACAACAGTTGCATTAGCCTCCCTGATGGTGAGACTCCCCACTAGTGAACAGATAACATTTTAGATCCTTAGTCTTACTTTGAAATTCCACAGAAGTCACATTCCATCCTTATCACCCACTGTGTCCTTCTACGTGTTCTCTGCTCCAGCCAGAGTGAAACCCTTGTGATTCCCCGTGTACACATGTAAGCTTTTCTCTGGTATTTTCACAGTGCTCTGTCCACCTAGTTACCTGGGTTTTTCTCCTCACTCTTTAACAGTGCTCTATCTACAGTAGATCATCAAAAACTACTGGGCAGACAAAGTACTACCAAGTGCAGAACTGTAGACAGGGAAACCATAGGATTTAAAGAATTTGTTTTGGAGCCAAGCTACATTATCAATAAAAAATTTTTAAGTCAATAATTTGAGGTTGAAAAAAAAACAAGCTACCAACTGATTTGAGATAATATTACTGAAATGTTAGGGGTATGTGTGTGGGGGGAGGGTATTTATATATTTTTTCTCACCAATTCTGATCATGTCCCAGCAGAATGATGACAAACCAGCAAGAGTTAACCACAAGATATAAAGTATAGAAATGCTTACTTTTAGTCTTATATCAGCTGTAAGGTCTTATGTTCTTTTTCTTTTTATCTCCTAAACAGCTTTTACTTTTAAATTTCAACCAACTAGTTCCTTGAAAAACATACTGAGTTTGTAACTTATGGAAACTAGGACTAGTAATTCCTTACCTACAGCCTCATAATTAACAAATTGTATCTGTTTTCCAGTTTTCTATACACAGATGTGATGGATCATTGCTGTCACTGTCTCACTGCTTTTTTTCACACATCCTTGTCTTTAAAGAATTGAAGTCAGCATTTCCATTGCTTTCCGCTAATTGACATTCTTTTCTTACTGTTCCACTTGCTTTCTAAGAGTCATTTTTAATACGGAGACACACTGGACCACACCGTAGCTGGCCATGGCTGTCACTCAGCAATACCCGGCCTGTCATCCAACCAACATTTATTGAATATCTTTGACCTGCCAGGGACTTGCACGCGCACACACCCCCCTACATGTATATATTTACATATACACATAGATTTGTGAACAACAGTTGTTAAACCTGAAATTGCAGTTATTTAAAGTTCATTTGCTCTTTTGCTGTCTTTGTCTTGGATGGTAGATGTTAATGTCTTTTTCACATGTTTCAGTCAGCTATTGAAACGTCGGAAGGTGTCAGTGCCTATAAAAATCGAACACCTTTCTGAGGAATTGGATGCATGGAGAGCTTGCACACGATCCATCAACCGGTGAGTGAATCTGATATAAAAATTGGGATACAGAAGGTATCACTTAATATTACAGACAGACTTATTGACAATTTGGTTGTCTCATTATTTATCTTGGCAGGATAATGAATCTTGTGTCGTTGAGCCTATATTCAGTAATAATTTACAACGCCCTTTCCTGCCTTTTTTAAGTCCTTCATTTTACTGTACATTGAGTCTAAAGTTGATTTGCCATGTTTCATAAAGGAGAACTAAATAATCATCAGGGACTGTTTCCTAATTTAACCTTAACAACCCTGTGATTCTGCAAAACTAAAAATGGAATATCTGTTGGAAATATAGATCATCAGAAGAAGCTCCACATACACCCCCTTCTGATTCACAAAGAATGGTTTATGCAACTTTACTGAAGAGACTAAAAGAAGAACCACTCAGAGGAATTATTGGACCAGATTATGTGACCGGGTCAAACCTACCGAGTCATTCTGATATTCACATCTCTTGTTTTACAGGATTAAAAATCCAGGTACAGCATGATGTCAGGCATAAATTGTGCATGTCCATCATTTTTATTGGTGTCATTATTTTTTGAAATGTGATCTTAAAATAAGCACAACCTGAATAAAAGTAGGTACCTATAAAGAGACCTGAGGCCCAGTGAGAAAGTATTGCCCTCAATGCTTCCATATTTGGTATAAATGTTTTCCCTCTCCTTGAAATAAATTCAGAGACATAGTCATGGTACTGTTATCCTAAAAGCAATTCATATAATAGATATACTTAGTAACAAATGTTTTAAAATACATATAGATCATATCCTTAGGGAAATTAAATAAGAAAGACAAAGCAACAATCAACACAGTTACAAATTATTATATCTCAGTAGATTAAATTTAACTTTATAGTCTCCATTTGTATTTTATAAACACAAAGAAAGCAATTAACAACTGTTAGATGTATAATATATCATTGATATATTATGCATATTCTTACATTGACTTACAGAACTTTTCAGCAGTTAAAAATTACGGGGATCAATCATGAGGGATGGCTAATTCCCAAAGAATGGTCCCTCATGCCCAGTCAAAGTAATGATGGTGAACGATGCCAGAGCCTCCCAGTGTGACCCAGGGGTGCCATTATCTCCAGAAAATAGAGGAGCCTTCATCATCCCAGAGCCAGGACCGGTTGTAGGTGTCCCCAAGAAGTAAACCAAGCTGAATCCCCGTGAAATGCTAATGGAGACCAGGTGGGACTAAAAGAACGCCACCTCTTGGGCACATTCACATTTTACTAAGCGGACTCTTGTATTTCTAATGTAACGTAGCTAATTACATTTCTAACACTGACATGCCAGGTCAATGGAGAAAGGTACGTGGGGGGATAATCACTCCAATTAAATATCTTGCTGCTAATGTAAGCTCTAACTATAGCTTGACTTGACACCAGAAACAAACTAAGTCTTCAGACACAGCAATATATTCCAGACCACAGACAGAACACTTAGCTGTATACGTGCTTATCCACTTATGTTCAGAGATAAAGAACCAAAGCAGTAAATTCAAGAGCTTATGATTAAGAGCAAAAACCATTATGCAGTTTTCAGAATACATTTTCAGTGCCACTCGCCGCCCTGCATGTACTTCTAGTGGACACTTTCCTGTTTCTTTCTCCTCTTCAGGACTTTTTCTCCATCTGAGACAGACAGATGACCTACTCCACAGGCTAACCTCTCTGCACTCACACACACATTAGGAAAGGATCTACTCATTATCTTACATACACTAGGGCGCAAATGACTGATTCAGAGGTGCGGGAGGGGGGCTACCCTCCTAGGATATTTCTGTTCCTGCAGAAAATCAGTGTGTTCTGCTTAAAACTAAAATTTCAAGTCCCTGTGAATAGGAAGCTGCCTACTTCATATAATGGATTTCCTAATATCTAGAAATAATTTACTAACAACAAGCTGTTATCATTTGAAATCATGATAAAAAACCTGATAACTTTAGAAAGTAATGAAGGAAGTAAGTTTTTATTCCATTCTGTGTTTGTAAAATCATGCTTTTCCTTCCAAGAGCTGGGAGATACACATTGAAAGGTTTTTTTGGATTTAGTTCTTCAGAACTACCCTCGACATACAAAATAGCTGATATAACTAAATTATAGATATGCTAGTAAATCACAGGGTTGACAGGACTTTGAATTATATATACACATATATAGCAGTGTATTTTTCATCTTCTGGAGAGCAGGTTGAATTTCTGGCTTAAATAATTTTCCCAGTTGTATTGATGTAGGCTGTATGATTAAAAGAGTGAAGTATATTAAAGTCCATTATTAGGCATATATGCCTTTATAAATGTTAACTTTGTAGTAATTAATAGGTTAGCAATACCTATTGCCACTGACAGCACCATTGTAATTAACGAATTCAAATTATAAAACTAAATTCTATTTTGAAAGACATCAGGGCATAATGTTAAGATATTTTAAAATGTTTCTCTATTTGGTGGCAATTCAAAGAATCTAATTTTTCTCTTATTTATAAATTTCCTATCAGTGTTGCTTAAATATCACCAGTGGTTTTTTATTCGCGTGAGTCTGTTTCTGGAAGTTTAAAAACATATTGCAAATTCATAATCTCCTCTTCTCTTCCCTTAACTGTCACTGTGCAGGGCCCTGTATTTTTCCTTGAAGATGGGAAATCCACCATCTCCTTGAATGACGCTCTGATGTGGGCAAAGGTGAACCCATTCTCACCTTTGGGGACTGGAATACGACTCAACCCATTTTGACAGAAGGTTTTTCTCACACTTAATTGTTTTTTTAAAGACCTTTTTCCGGTTAGTATTACCTTTAACCTTTGTTGTCCAAGAGCCAAAGGTCTGGAGGAGGAGGTGGGAAGTGGGGACTCACAGTTGATTTTATTTGTTAACTTCAACAAATAAAATATTTATATAATTTCAAGGAAAAATAGGTGTCTCCTTATTTGGGAGGAAGGTAATATTTAAATTATGAAGGACTGACAAATCTAAAGGAGCATATAAACTTTTCACAAAGCATGAAAGGTACCAAATATTCTGTTGTTGAAACACTGAAACTTGTAAAATAGTGCAACACCTAGAGTCGTGCTTGACGTGCAGTAGGCGCTTAGAGTGTTTGGGTGACTGAACATCTTGAAGTGTCGAAATGTAAGGTGTGTACAACTGATCTTCAAGTTAACAAACACTGGTATTGTCCTCTATAAAATGTATAGTAAACCACTAGTTTTAGCTCATATTTAATCAAAGTTTTCAGTTATGTTTAATATATATCAATAAATGGGTACGCAAAGTACTTTTGAGTTTTATTTTTTTAAAGAGTAAACATTCCCAAGTTCTGCAGCTGAAACTCAAATGTCTAATTATAAAGGAATAGGCTATATAAGCATGAAAAAAATTGGAGGCGAAAAACACAAAATGCAGTGAAATCTATGTGAAAATTTGCATTTGATGATAATTCACTATTTAAAAAGGTATTTGGTATTTATGAATATTAATTTTGATTAAGGTATTTAATATTCACATAATCGCTAATCAAGTTACATTATAATATAGTTATAATAAACAATTTATTTGATGAAAATTAGTTTCAAATAAATTTCTGTAAGTAAATAGGATATTAGTTGAAATTTGGGATATATTATGTAAATTCAAGTTTTAAAAATATTTATTAAAATAGTGCATCTGTCGATATTTTTTAAAAGCCTGAGGCGTGACGAAAGTATTTCAATTGTACTAGAATTCTGACTTCAAAATTTACGAAATGAATCCACACTAGGAGGAATAGTACTTTGACACTCAAGCTGTTTTACAAGATTTATAATACAGGTGTTTTGTCTAATTAGGGAGTGAGCTCATATAACTAGAATAATGGTGGTTTTTATTATCTTTAAACTTGTTGCATTTAAAATACTTTAAAATTTTTCTTAAGCTTCTTAAAACAGAAAACAATATATATTATGTACCTGTCTATGACACTGACCTACTTCTAACTCCACAAAAAAAGCATTTTAGCCTTAAATTCCATTTTATAAAGAAAATAGTTAATATTATAGAAGAGAATGTATACAACTCAGAGATGCAATGGGTAATGTAAATCGTATCTGAGAAGTACTTTTTAACCCTTAGTGATACGTGTAATTCAGATTTCTTTTTATTTTTAGGTGAGAGGTATTATTAATTGGCATATATGCACTGAAATCTCCTCACTTAAAAAGTGGCAGTCTAAATCCTGCTATCATTCTGTTTTGTTTTAAAATAGATTAAAAACCCTAATCTGTGCTTTAAATACTTCAAAGGTATTAAGTTATACATATATAAACAGTTGTTACATTCTTCTGTATTTTTAATGAATGCAAGAAATAATATTTTAATGTATAAAGTATGAAAAAGATCTTACAACTCTTTAGCACATGAAGACCATTGAGGTATAACCCAGTATTTGTCTAAAGCCTAAATTTGATTGATTCAAATGCAATTCTGTTATTCCTTGACTTTAACAATGTTCTATACCTTAATACTATGACTATTAATTCTTCATAAAATGTCATTGACTATGTTGATCTGTATGTGTCTTAATATGAAAAACAAAAGTTTTACAAATTTATAAAGTTAAATTTCATTGTTATATTTAGTATGCGTGAAAACCCAAACGAAGAACATGAACTTGTTTTTATTTGAAGGTGTCTGATAATGTGGACATTACTGATAATGTGGACAAATTATTTTGCAAGTTTAAGTATGCTTTTATGAAAGAAGTCTCATTTGACAATGATTTTAATAAATACTGCAGTTAAAGCCAGATATGACACAGTTAACTGCTAAGATGAACATCAGTCTTGTCCCTAGAACCACCAGTGAGAGGACACCATCTCTCGCTAAATTCTGGGTTAAAGTCATCAGAGGTATGAAGGGCTGCGCTGTCCATCTGGGTTATGACCCTGCTTAGAGACCTAGAAAAATCATGTGATTGGGCTGTTCAGGAGGGTGATTCTCCACTTGTAAGAAACACTGACTACAGTGTTTAGTATACAAGAGAGAATTAGTATAGAAGAGAGAATTAGTATAAAAGAGAGAAAAAAGAGGCTTACTAATTAATATAAACAGCATATCACAGAAGCTTCCATTCCCGTGATAAGCATTCTGCCAATCGATTGAAAGGTTCTGTTCCTGTAGGGGCTGCTGTAGCTCTGAGAATAGTTCACTGCTTCCTTCTGTCAAAGATCTTTGTGAAGAAAATGACCTTCCTTAGATTTGCCTGAAGTGTTGGCTTCTGTTGACACAACTCATCTTAAGAAGCTCTTGACGTTACCTACTTTCACCATATCCCCACTTCCTTCATGTCCTTAGTCACTATGATATGAAGCTTCCAGACTCTCCTGTATTTTCAAAACTCTCCGTAGGTCCCACAGGGGTCTTGGGAACTTAACCAGGGTCAGGCCATGAGTGAGTAGCTTTTTCAGGAGATTGAACAGAGTCAAGAGAATAAAGAAACCTATTATTTGACTGTTTATCCAAATCTAATCCTTTTCTCTGGACGTTTCTCTAGCTGAGCTTCAGAAGACTTGTTTCTAAAATCCTTTCCTAAGGAACTATATTTTATGGTTTAAAAATTATTCTCATAATTTTCTAAACCTTTCCCAAGAAGTCATCGATTTCATCAGGGCTCTCGTTAATTTCTTTTACTAAATGTTACCTATCCAGAAGGGTAAGATTAAACAAGGAAGTCTCTGGAGGTAGAAATCCGAATTAAACTCTCTAAGGCTTCAAAAATGCAGAAAGACGAATAGAGTTTTGTTGGAAATTGACAAGCATATCATGGGATTCAGCATTAGTAATACTCATCTTGGAAGTCAAATGACACTATTAATGAGATAGCATAAAAACGTGAATAATTCCACTTGAAGGAAATTTTCCAAATATGAATTTTAAATTACCGAGAATATATGAACGATCATCAGTCTGTCAGTATATCACTGCTTCTGTCTCCCTTCAGTAAAAATATGGGGCATGGCAGCAAGCAGGAGGCATTTTTTAAAATCAAACTGAATTGTTTGCTAAACACCAAGTAAACCATGATTTTCCTTCCCCACAACTCAGTATCAACAGGAAAGATGACTATTTTTTTTGATGGCTTAAGTAAAGTTATTTATGGAAGTGGGCAAGATTTTCTATGTATAACAGTAATAATCATTCAGAATAAATTTTGTTGATGAACATGACGTGTAAATAAATACTATCAGGCATATTCGTAGCATGGCTCTTCTCTTTCTAGTGAGGAAAACGTATCACAAAGTAGATTCGCCATTCTTACAAAACTTATGAGAAAGAATTCTCATCCGTCTTGGTGAATTATGTTTAACTGTACCTTTAAAATTATTTTTGTTCATTCTATACTAATTAAACTGATTTTGTATTTTCAACACTACTAGGTGCAGGTGTTGAATAAATGGTTGTTGAATTGAATTAAAAAATACGTTCTTCAGCCCAACTATAGATAAGACACCCCTTTAATTTACTTATTATTGACATATATCCAAGACTAGGTGACGGTATCCCTTTAGAGTGGCAAGAGGTGGTGGCATCGCTTCTTCAAAGCCCATCAGACAGGTGCTTTTCTGGGTCCCCTTTCCATGCTTCTGATCTGATAGGTTTCATAGAGTCAGAAGAACGTTTTCCAGCTCGCTTCATGTGAATTTCTTTAAGTGGATTGCCACCATTACCTGTATTTGGTGTAATATTTAAATAAACAACATTAAAATCCATTTGTGGTTACTAAATATTGTATACGACCATCTGTGTTTCTAACATACCAGACATATGCAGAACGAGTGGCAACAGGCTGAGCACAGGTTAGTCTAAATGCCTGGTAAACAGAATATTTAAAGCATGCATGACAGTAGTCGGAAATACAAAACCTGAATGCCACCATCTCCAAAAGTCATCGGTGGAGCCTAAAAATACCCAGGGCTTATTTTGGTGCCTCTGATCCTGAATATGACTCAACTATTTTTAGATGTTGCTTCAGAAAGCAGGTGAGGCAACAGTGCCGCGGTTTTAATAGTGCTTAGATTTGGCAACTACGCAGAATTCAGAATTCGGTTTCTAGAATTCTGCACTGAGGCATCCAAGCCGGCCACTCAGACTCTTTAGGTGACTCAGTTCTAACATGAGGGGCCAGTGGCAACTAAGAAATCTACATTCCCTTGGCGCGCTATTTTGCTAGATGCTAGATTTAGGTAAACAAAGAGAGGGACTTAAGTGTTAAAAAAAAAAAGGTAACCTTTCTTACAATTAATTGTTCCCACTCTCTTTGATAATTAGAAGCTTCTCAGATGAACAGGCTGTGATTTCAGTACCATTATGTGCAATTTTGGTGTATGTTGTCAACCATTTAAACATGTAAGAACCATTCTTAACTTGCAGGCTGCACCAAAAAGTCAGGCAGAGGCTGACTTTGGCCCTTGTTTGGCTACAGTTTGCTTTGGTATTAAGTGCTTTCTGAATTAACAGGATTTAAACTCGTGGCTTCTTGTAAAACAGGTGATGGGGAAGTCTAGGTGTGCAGGTTGTCTGTATCTGCCTTAGGACTGATTCATCATCCAGCTGCTACAGGATTGAGTTTTGAGCTCTGCCAACGAGCTTCCCCTGTTTCAGGCGCACTTTTTTAAGCTGAAATCGGAATTGAAATGGCTCCTATAGTAGCAGGCGGGGCAGCGCTGGCCTGGGATTTTCCCCTGTTGTGACTGGTTCTTAGCGGACAGCATGCTCCCGCCACCTATCCAAAAGCACACACATCAACCTACCGCAACGTCCTAGACTGAACGCCTAGACCAACATTTTAACTATTTTGAAATTTTAAACAAACAATAAAACCCCAAAACATCATTTTTAACAAGTGGAAAAACTTTTAAAAAACTTACACACAGGAGCAACTCTTTCCTTCGAAACGACTGAATTACATTTGCACCCACAGGCTTGGGCAGGACCATGACTGAAAGTCGATTCTCCCAGTGTTGGTTTGACCTCAAACCATTCTATAAAATGTAAACAAAAATTCTTTCTTAAAAATTCACTATGGCCATGGTCAAAGTACGACACCACAATTTGAAATTAAGCAAATTATTTAGACATCTGTTGTATCATATTCCTGAGAGCAGTGTGGATATGTAGGTTAATAACCCTCTCCACCATGGTTCACATCTCTGATGCACAAAATAGTTGCTTTAAAAAAGTTACTTTAGGGCTTCCCTGGTGGCGCAGTGGTTGAGAGTCCGCCTGCCGATGCAGGGTACACGGGTTCGTGCCCCGGTCTGGGAAGATCCCACATGCCGCGGAGTGGCTGGGCCCGTGAGCCATGGCCGCTGAGCCTGCACGTCCGGAGCCTGTGCTCCGCAACGGGAGAGGCCACAACAGAGAGAGGCCCGCGTACCGCAAAAAAAAGAAAAAAAAAAAAATTACTTTAAAGACAGTATCCCTATGTTCCTATTAGTCTTTTGTTAAGCTTTTTTTTCTTTAATTCAGCCAATTTATTTTTAATTTTATTTTTAAAAAATATTTTGGCCACACAGCATGTGGGATCTTATTTCCCTCACCAGGGATTGAACCCACGCCCCTGCATTGGAAGCACGGAGTCTTAACCACTGGAAGTCCCAATAAGCTTTCATTCAATAGTAATATATGTACAGAAAAATGAACAAATCGTATGTTTACAGTTGAATTTTGTTTATGTTTACAGATGAATTTTGTTTATGTTTACAGATGAATTTTTGGAGTGAATACATACCTGGGATGCCATCACCCAGATCCAGAAATAGTATAGTGCTAGCACCCCAAAATCCCTTCTTGTCTCTCCCATACAGTACCCTAAAACTAAAACTCTGTCTTGACTTCTATCATCATAGGTTAGCTTTACATGTTTTTATATTTCATATAAGTAAAACCATACAGTATCTATTTCATTTTGCAAACATTTTTATACTGTAAAAATAGTGACAAAATTACTTTCCATGTTTCCCGTATGTCTTATTAACTAATTCTATCAACTGCAGCACTTGGGCATCAGCTTCACTGTGCTTCTAAAGATCACCTACTCCTCAGCAGCTCACCCTCACCGAGGCTGGAAGACGTGTCTAAGGTCATTTCTGCTCATCAGCCATGCCCTGTTTATGCTTAAACACCACCCTGGTCATTCCCAGAACTGTGATTATCACAATTAATTATTGGGCAGCTTAAAATCAGCATTCTCAAAAATCAACACCGGTGATAACAGAATTCAGTTCAAGAATCGAAAGTGTTGAGGTATGTCCATGGCTAAAGAGAACATGTGTTCCAAAGAAGACAGCAGAGAGAGAGGTTAGCTCTGCACTAAGATGGACATTTAAACTGATGACTAAATGGAATGGTTGTGTTTCGATCCAGGAATTCCGACAAGACCCAGTGAGTGGAAGTAATAGTGAGACAGATTAAATGTAAGCAAGTATTCGGTATAAAAAATAATGATATCTGATTTTGCAGTGTTAAAAAAATAACTTGACAAAACGAAAATGCTGAACAAAAGAACTGAAGTGGGGAGGGGGCTGGTAGGGATTGGTCAGTGTCCTAGTGTTGTAAGGTCCTTACAGTTTGAGGAAGAGAATAAAGATATTACTCTTAGACTAAGATAAATATGCATGTTAAAGTTTCTAGCGTAGCACTAAAGAGAATAGAAATTTATAATTTTCCAAATTAGTAGGGAGGAAAAACGTCTTTGGATAAAAGTTCAGTCCAAAAGAAGAAGAAAAATAGGTAAGACAAAAACAAGAAACAGAGAACAAATTAAAAGCACAAAATAATATGATAGATATGAATACATATATGGTAATAAGTATGACTGAATTAATAACAATAAAAGTCACAGTAGATGAAATTACAACAAATCTACGAATCAGGGCACAGTGGCAGGCTTTTCTTTCATCTGTGCTCAAGAAAAGCCTTCTTAAGCTTGGAAGAACCCAGTTGACTATTTCCAAGAAAACTTACCTGGATTCAGTTTTCTGCTCAATTTTCTTTGCAACATTTGTAAAAGGAGGAGGAACTCTCCTTTACGTTCATGATTGAGCTTGTTCGGATTGCCTATTAATTCTGATAACCTAATGTTATCTTTAATAGACTTTGAAGCTGTCGATCTGGAGACCAGGGGCAACTGCATCTGGTAACTGTAGTCTGTGAAATTCACAAGGTCATCCTGGATACTTTTAACTCTGGAAATAAAAAAATATTGTTGACAAGCCCCATTTTAGTAATAAGATTTATATTATCAAAAGTTTCATATTATATTACTAGAAAATTCCAAATAACTCACTCTCGATGTGTTAACAAGGTGTACACCTCCTGTATCAGTATTTCAGGTACTCCGGCTTTACAATGAATTGTTCCGTGGATTAGTTCTTTAGGTAATCTAAGTTTTTTTCTCGCCAGGAACTGTAATAGTAGAAAGAGAATACTTTCACCATAAGAAGTTCTATAAAAATCTCCAATTACTGTGAATTCACTTTAATCCCCCTTTAATCCTCAACTAATATTTTGAGGTTTAACATGTTAATTAAGTTATTATTACTCAGCAAGAGAATCAACCATTATATCCCGCTCCAATTTGAAATGAGTATGCTCAGTTTCACAGGTGACTCATGACATAAACTTTAATAACCTTCTTTTCAATACAAGGAAACAAGCTGCCTACCCAGCTGCATTGCGTCCTAAAACACGGCCACACACGCATATACAGAGAAATCCACGACCTCAAGAATACACCTCTTCAAACATAAACTTTTCAACAGTTAAAAGTGTCATTGGTTGCTAATTTACCTTTTCCAACTGCGCCCAGTTATCCAACTTGACTTTTAAAGACGTTCCGTTTTTAAAGGATGACAATTTAAGGTCCCAGGGGTAGTGTACAGTGAATATTTCTGCTATCAGGAAGCCATTTGAAAAATCCCTGATCCATAAAAATAAGGAAATAAAATGCAGTTACTTACACAGTTTGTGATTATGGTTCATTAACACCAATTTAATATACTATACTGGCAGCAACTTACAGAATGTTGTACCATTGCTCCAAGGAGGACCTGCTATGGAATAACCTTTGGGTAAGATGACACACACCAAAGGCCATGGTGTTCTTTTTATGAACCCCAAACTATTCATTTGTATCGGACCTGCATTTTAACAAGATGCCCATGTGATACCTAGGTACACTGAAATTTTCAGGCGTGTCTTTCTTGAGGAATACCGAAATTAGTAAACCAGAGTCCTTGCCTGCAACAAAGTCATTATTTTTATGGAATTTAGTTTGCACGCCCAGAGCAAATATTAACTGCCATTAGTATTAATGTCTAGTGTCTCTGAAGAAAGAGCCTGGACTCTTTTACTTTTTTTGTAGTCACCAAAGCAGTCTGTATTAGCTCAAGTCTATGTAATGATTGATTGACTGATTGACCGATTGAGTGAAATGCTCCATTCTATTTTTTTTAGGTCAGCTCCCTAAGAAAGCAAGGGGTGTGTGTGTGTGTGTGTGTGTGTGTGTGTGTGGTGAGTGGGCGGGGGCAATCCCAGGAGAAAGCCCCTGCGCGGACCCCGGGGCTGCTCTGCTCCGACCGAGGCTCCCGCCAGGCGGCGGGGGCCGGCCCTGCTCCAGCACCTGTTGATGTTTCTGGGGAAGAAGCTGAGATCCAGGCCCTGGAGCCAGCGCAGAACCGACGGAGACACGCGGGACCTCTTCGGGGGATGCGGATAGACCAGACACTTCTTAGGTCTCCCTCGCATGGGAGCGGCTGGACGTGGCGCAAGTGACGGTGACTTGGGTACCGTCGGCAGTGTCAAAAGCTCTCCTCCCAGACCGGCGGCAGCCATGGCGCTTTCTGGGTTTCTATGGCAGCACCGGGGGCGGGGCCTCGGCGGGGCGGGGCTTCGGTGGGGCTGGGGCTTCGGCGCGGGCGCCCTGGGCCTCGCGGGTCCTCCAGTTTGGGGTCCTGCGGCTCCGGGTTGGCGGACGCGCTTCCCTGGCCTCACTGAGGACTCGGTTCCGGGAGCTTAAGCCTTGGGCGGAGCTTTCAATCTCCGTTTTAATTGGTGTGAAGAATAACCGATTAGGGCCCTCCCTTAGAAATGGACATTTTGAATATCGTGGTTTCTGCCCCGTCGAAGGCCTAGTTTCAGTCAAGCATTTGGAGGAGGTTGTGAGGACCTTTCAGAGGACAAAGACAGTTTTTGTTTGGAAATTGGAAACGATAGGGTTTTGTTCCAAAATGCCAATGAAAAAAATCTTCAAAATTAAAATGAATAGATGCTTAATGGCTACAAAATTTAACGTACCTATTTCCTTAATTATTACGCTGCGTTCATAAAAATTACATATTCGAAAGCGATTTGTAAATTCGATTTTCACACTTCACAAAGATGCCCCAGTAGGCATGATTCATTCATTCATTCGAAAAATATTTATTGAGTCCCTACTAGACCCTGAGCTAGTCACTTGGGATTTATCAGTGAACAGTACAGAGGGGGAAAAAAAAGGATTGCAGAGCAGGGACAGACAATTGTAAATTAAATATTTACACAGCAGAGTTGTTAACATCCTTTAAAAAGTCTTACAGTAAAAAAAAAAAATGTGGTTCGTAATACACATTATTGTGCAACATAAACTATGGGCTAGGTCTTGAGAGTGGAGCTATATAATATTTTGTTGAATGTGTATTCATAGACATGTTTATTAATCAAGTAAACCAATGTGAGTCTGTATGTGGTGAAAAAGAAAAACAAAAACGGAGCTCTACAAGTGTTTTTACTTTGCCCAATGTGTCTTTCACGGATGATCCATTCACTTGGTGACCTTTTTTTTTGAGGAATTATTATTCGGTGCTTTGCTATGCACTAGGTCTTCACTATTCAATATGGTAGCCACTAGCCCCACGTGGCTATTCCAATTGAATTTTAAATAAATTTCAATAAAATAAAGTGAGTAACACTGTGTACATTTCAACTGCTCAGTAGCCACATGGGGCTTGTGGCCACCACACTGTACAACACAGATACCACAGTATCACTGCAGGAAGATCTATTGGGCAACTGTGCACTAGATTATTTATAGAAGGTACAGAGATATAAATACCTGAAAAAAGATCACGCACCCTGAAAAGCTCTGCCATGGTAAAAATATATTAGTATCAGGGAGGAAGCAAATAATTTGGCCTGAGGGAGTGTAGGAGTCCTCTCAGAGGAGGTGACCTTTGATGTGAATCTTATAAGGCGGTATTTTGAACTGGTTAAGGCAGAGGCTTTGGAGCAGCAGGTCTATTTTTTATTAGTTATGTGACTTTGGGCAAGTTATTTAACCACATTTATTTGTAAAAGATGGAAATAAATAGGATATACCTCACAGGGTTGTGTTGAAGGATTAAATTAAGTTAAATGAGTGAAGAGCCTGGAACAGTGTACACACATAGGGCTCAGTAAGTTTAAATGATATTTCTAAGACGATCATGGAAATCTGTGGAATGAAGAGGGGAGGGGACACTTCCACACAGAGTTACTAGCGTGAGCAGAAGCAGACATGATCTATGATATGATAGTTTTTTATGAGTTTTAAGGAATAACAAATAACCCATTAAGGTCAGAGGAAGTGTTTAGGCTTTGGCATGTGGGGCTACCCTAAGATTTCGGTGATGATGGCTAGAGAGGTAAGTTAAGGCTATAGATTGGGGCTTGACTGAGAACAGTCTTGCTGAGGAGTTAGAATTTTTTCCTGTAGCAAATGTGCCAATTGTGAAGCAAATAGGTCTCTGTTTCAAATACACCCTTCTAGGTTCTGCCCCATGGAGCTGGAACTCGGCCCTGTAGTTTCTGCTTTGCTGAGTTGTATTAAATCCTGCCACTAGGAGGCACTAGAGAGGAACCAGGAGACCAGAGGAAAGGAGAAGGGCTGTTTGGATGAAGGTTGCCATGGCAACAAGGCTCCGGCGGGCAGGGGCAGTTGGTGCCACCGTCCAGGTTGGGTTTTTTGTTTGTTTTGTTTTTTTGCTTTTTGTTTTTTGTTTTCCATTCCCGGAGCAGGTTTCATCGTACTCCCTCAGAGGTTTCAGCGACCACTGAGAAGCGCTCAGAACTCCAAGCCCCAGGTTTTACTCTAGGACCGCTCCTCTGAGCCCCTTAAGCATCAGCATCTGCTGTATATACGCTGCCCCTGCAAAGGTCTGCAGGGCTTTCCCTTCAAGTTCTAGACTCTCAGAACCCCTGTTCCTTGCCTTTGCTCTCCAGCCCTAGGGGGCTATCTCTCTTCGTTTGATGGTCTCATTTTTGTTCCGTTTGACCGTTTCCTTATCTTAAATTCTTGTTGAATTCGTGGAGTTACTCTGTTTTCCTGCTGAATCATACATTGCTTCATACTCGGAGTAGCTCATCTACATGTTACCAGGGCAGCTAAAGAACCTGCTACTCCCGTTCACTGGATCCACGGTATCACGAATACAGTGGACCAGCCGGGTATTCTGTGGGATGATACGACACTCAAAAGCCTCTGCTGATCTCGTGGCAGAGAGCCAGAAAATTGATTTGACCTGCGGCAGGAGGATGAACGTGCACTATTGTCCTGCTCAAAAAAAGCAGGCGGCTTTCTGTGGTTCTTGCAGGCTGTTAGAGAGGAGAAAAAACACTTTGCAGATCAGTAGCAGCATAACAGCTGCTAGGGGTTGTGACGATTTATTCCAGTAAAGATACTGAAACAGAGCAGCACCCTATGGTCCTTGTCCCCCAGGTCCTCCGCCTGCCCTTTGCCTGTGGAAAAACTATAGCCAAAGAATAAGTTTAATCAGAGAAGTGAGGAAATACAGAAACAATGGCAAAGGAGACCAAATAATACTAGTTTAGTCATTAAGCATAATGAAGGACCTTTAGTTCCTTCTCAAGGGCTATAGATCATATTCTGAGCCGTGCCCTGTGAGCTGTCTTACAGATACCGAAACCCACACCAGGTGGGGAAGTTAACTACGTGGTGACC